TGTGGAATTTCCACCACTGCCTCTGCAGGACTGTAAAGAGATAAGCACTGCCTCAACGACCATTTATCAAAAACTCATATTTATTTGTTTTGAGTTGTTACTTTGTGTTGAGTTTAGTTTAATTACGACTAGTTGTGTTGCGATGTGATCTATTGAATTGTGTTGTGGCCCATTCTTATTGAGGTTGAGTTGAGTTGCCGGTGTGTGCGCAGTGGTGAAGCGTGTCTCGGAGCACATGCAGGCTGACGACCCGGCCGCTCAGAAGAAACTCGCCAAGAAACTCGAGCGGCAGCAGGTGCCACTCGCCTCGCTCGCCACGCTCGCCACGCTCACCTCGCTCGCCTCGCTGGCCATGCTTACCATGCTCGCAAACTCTCACTTTCCTCACCTTACTCGCCACACTAAGCTCACCTCGCTCACCCCACTTACCTTGCTCGCCCCACTCACCTCTCGCTCTGCTGACCATTCTCACTCAGCACGCTCATCACTCTCACCACTGCAGGTGCCACAGCGAACGGACTCGACACGCAAGGTCACTCTCTTCTCCCACCTCCACCAGTACAGCCGGCAGATGTCCCTCACTCACTCCCTCAGGTACCTCACCCCGGGTCTCACTCGGGTACCTTACCCCATGTCCACTCACTCCCTCACGCTGTGTGTCATTCACACTTGGACCCTGTGTCTCACTCGGGTACCTCACTCAGGTTCTCACCCGTGTCCACTCATTCACCCAACCGTCACTTTGTGTCTTAATCACTCAGGTACCTCATCCCGTGTTCACTTACGACCTCACCCTATGTCTCAATCACACCCTGTGTCTCACTTACGCTGGCACTCTGTGTGTACCGTGTACTGTGTAAGCGATGTGTTCCCCCTCTGGCACCACTATGTAATCTGTGTGTGTACTGTGTATCCTATGTATGTACTCTGGGTACTTTGTAACCTATTTGTGTGTACCCCAGCTGCACTGTGAAACCTGTGTGTGTACTCTGTACTGTGTAACCTATTTGTGTGTGTACTCTGGCTGCTCAGTGTAACGTGTGTGGGTGTGTGTGTATTGTTGAGAGTAGTAGCACAGTGGTTAGCGCTCTGCCCTACAAACTCGGCGACCCGATTTCGATTCCTGCTCACAGCCAACACAACTGACGATTATCTGAACCAGTTCTGGGCCTCCACTAGGTCGACTCAGCCACAAATGAGTTTGACATCACCACTGGGGAGACAAAGGTGGCCTGGCGTAGTTCTGGTCACCCACCTCGTCGTATTCCGTGCCACCCTACATAGGTGATCGCTAACAGCACTTGCCCCAACGGTCTATTAAGGTTATACAGGGGATCTTTGTATTTTACTTTATTCTGCACGCAGCCTGTCTTCGTGTGTGATCCACCCGTCCGTGCTGCGGCTGGGCCTGCAGTACTCCCAGGGCCTCATCACGGGCTCCAACGCGCGCGCCGTTGCGCTGCTGCACGTGTTCAAGCAGGTGCCGCCACACAGCAGCGCCCGACACGCGCACGCACGTACTCACGTGGGGCACGGCAGCCGTAGCCGGCGGGGGGGGCCCCATACCACTGAGGTCGCGGCACTGCTCAGGCCGCGGTACCGACACCATTTCTCCATCGCGTACTGGCATTGTAGAGCGATTGTGGTGGTGATTGTGGATTGTCGAGTGAGCGATGGCGTTGCGATCTTCCTCCTCCGTGCTCTTGCTGTGCGCAGGTGATCCGTGACTACTCCACACCCCTCAACGAGGACCTGTGCCGTGACCTGGTCAACAAACTTAAGCCCGACATCAGGTGACTCGCCACTCACCCTGTGAAGCCTAAACCCAGCCCGCAGCCAATCTTTGGACTGGAGATCGGCGCTGGGCTTGAGGAGGAGTTGAGAAGCTGAGCTGACCCATGTCTACTCCTCCCTGCAGCTTCCTGAATCAGTGCCGACCCTTGGCTGTGAGCATGGGCAATGCCATCAAGCATCTCAAGAGCTGCATCAGCAGCATCCCTGCCGGCACTCCCGAGAGACAGGTGTGTGTGCGTCTAGAGACAGATGCCTGTGTGTCTTGACAGGTGTGTGTGTCTAGACAGTTGTGTGTGTGTGTCTAGACAGTGGTGTGTGTGTCTCTCGCTCAGGCCAAGGAGTTGCTGTGCGATTGGATCGACAGCTTCGTACAGAATAAGATCGAGCTGGCGGCCAAGGCCATCGCAGACTTCGCCATTCAGAAAATCAAGGACGGCGACACGATCCTGGTGTACGGATGGTACGAGCTTACCCAGTCACGTACACACGCACACACGTGTATGCACACTGCTCGCCTGCACCATGTGTACGCGTACAGACACGTCATAGACACTTCTCGCACATACATTCGCCATGGTCAAGGGATAGGCCCGGTGCCTATGCGTTTTACTGACCGAGATGACTGACAAGATGACTGAATTTCACCACACACGCTCTCACCGCCACGCCCCAGCTCGTCGCTGGTGAACAGGGTGCTCGTAGAGGCACGAACGCGGGGCCGCACGTTCCGTGTCGTGCTGGTGGACAGCCGGCCCCGCATGGAAGCACGCGAGGCGATGCGGCGCCTGGTCCGCCACGGCGTGCCCTGCACCTACGTCCTCGTCACGGCACTCGCCTACGCCATGCAGGAGGTGAGGCCCGTGCCGTCGCACCGCGATTGGCCGCCCCCACATTCCAGGACCCCCCCCCCACCCTGCGAGGCACACCCTGCGTGACGTGGTCAGTGCTACGGATGACGTCACCAAGCCCTGCCGGTCACCTCCCGTCCAGCGGCACACGTGCGAAGAGACGACGCACTATTTTTGTATTTGCCAATTGGTGGAGTGATAGAACCGATGGTCAACCGTGATGAATTATGGGAGAACTCTGAACAGTTATCCTATTACTTGCAACTCAGATTGTTTACAGCTGTAGGGCCACGGATACTATTGTCCTTGGCACTATTGCTATTTGTGACAATCCACAGTTTTCCCATCCTTCTTTGCAGAACTATTTTGCTTTTTGCATATTTTTGCAGCCTAGTTGAGTGGCACATTCTACTTGCGATTACCTGCAATTTGTTTTCCCATGGAATAAAGCCACACATACTAGGATTCCCCACAGCACCACAGATACCAAGAATCCTCCTGTACCTAAGTGTATGGACAAACCGAGCTCTCGTTGGTGCTGTCGCTTCCAGGTGTCCAAGGTGTTCCTGGGTGCCCACGCTCTCCTGGCCAATGGCTACGTGATGTCGCGCCTAGGCAGCTCGCAGGTGACGCTGGTGGCCAGGGCCTACAACGTCCCCGTGCTCATCTGCTGCGAGACATACAAGTTCTGCGAGCGCGTGCAGACCGACTCCTTCGTGTCCAACGAGCTCGGTAATCGGCGCCCATCCCTAAACACTGGCCATGGCGTGGCCATTAAGATGTCTCATTGCTACCAATGCTTTCTTCCCTCTGCCAATCCCGCAGCGACTGCACCAGACACAGACCTCTTAGACGAAACCCGTAATTCTGCCTCAAGTCTCCCACCATCTGTTCTTAGGTTTTCCACTTGGTCGCCGCACTCGTAGAGACCGCTCCGATGCCGGTCTTGGCATTATTACATTTGGTATTTGCCAACGATGCGAATAGCAAATGCTTGAAGTATCTCTTCAGGTAATCTCTATTTAGCGTTTTTATTGCTGGTGGATTGCCTTCTGCTGGGTGCATTATGTTAAAATGACGACCCTTTCCTTTTTATTCAACATTTGATGCAGCACATGTCAAAAGGCAGCCACATCACCCTTATCATATTTTTGGTTCTTTCGGCAAAGTCACGTAGAAGGTAAATAATAAAGTAATAAAAATATTAAATTTGTATTATTTAATATTATAATATTTCAATTATTTTATTATTTCCCTTCTACGTGACTTTACCGAAAGAACCAAGAATATGAATCCCTGCAGTCACAAAAGCTTTAAATCAAAATCACCCTTATCGTCAAACCTAAAAACCTGATCATGGTCACTTCTGGTTTTGGTCAATAAGGTTAAATTGGGCATGTATTTTTGTGTCTGGTTAGACCTTAAATGGTTACCTGATGCGGTGTGAACATCAGCACTGGACATGCTGCTGCTGGTCATCCACCCCGTCGTGTGCCACACTGTCGGCCTTCAAAGGTGCTAATCGCTAACAGCACTTGCCCCACAGTCTGTTTAAGGATATATGGGGGATCTTTGTCTGTGTGTCTGCACGGGAACTCTGCGTCCCCCAAGACGACCCGGACAACCTGGTGTGCTCACGCGGGGACGAGACTCCCCTGAGCGGCTGGCGCGACGTGCCCAGCCTCAAGCTGCTGAACCTGGTGTACGACGTGACGCCGCCCGACTTTGTGGCCATGGTCATCACGGACGTGGGCATGATCCCCTGCACGTCGGTGCCAGTCGTGCTGCGTGTCAAGAGCGACGACTGAGGGCAGCGGCGCAGTGGTCTACCCTGCTCCTGTCACCGTGCGATTTTTGCTGGGCCTGTGCATCTCTGCATAGGGAGCTCGCGTAGTGGCTTCGGTGAATCGGTGACAACCTTGCTCTGCTTGGTAAATGATTCCACCACAGCGCACGTGCACCCAATTACCTGCGATATTTGTGTGTGCGCATAATGAAGGGTGAGAATAAACGTGTGCTGAACTTTTAGGTGCTTGTGAACAGCACATGGAAGTTACACTTGTGTCTTTGTGTGCAACTGCGTTTTTGGTTGGGAATTATATTTGATTTGGTCAGAAACTGCAATTCCTTGTTGACATAAATAGGTTGCTCAGCAGGCACAATGTTTACCTATTTCACTTTCAAAGTGTTAATGGTAAAAAAAAAATGGGCAAGTCCCTGCCACTAACACCTACAGGTGTCCACATACACAAAATGCACATGTTTGTGTTCCAGGAGAATGGTTCTACATTCAGCGTGTGTGTTGTGCTGCGTGCATTCATTACTGGAGCCGTAGATGAGTGAGGCAAGAGGGCGCTGGCCAAGTGAAATGTTTATTGCATCAGTAATGTGCAGCAATGACTGTAAACGGTGGACAAGGAGGCACGCAGATTCATCTGCAAGGCAGCAGAGCGAGTGGAGGCTTCAGCCTAGTGACCTTGTTCTGGAACAGAAACATTTGTGCAAATTAAACTCCGAGCCAGCAGCAGCAGAGTAGTCAAGGGCGGGTCTCCCAGTGCGACCGTGGCTGCGTCATTTCACAAATCCACACCATCGCACACCCCGACAATTGTGATCAAGCACCCAGTCAGTGATTGTCAAGAGGTTATGTGCGGTCAGCTCGGAGCATAACCTCTGGGGCACAAAGACACCAAATTTACCATCCTAGTTTACCAGTCGTAAACGCACCGAATTTACCGGCCGAGTTTACCAGCCGTGCAAACCGAAACGAATTTACCGGCCGAGTTAAACGGCCGTGCAAAGACACCAAGTACAGCTAATCAGCCAAGTGCAACTTCGTGCGTAGAGATGCCGAATAGAATCTGCAGCGGCAGAAAGCAAGAGGAGATTGAGGACAGAAAGAAAGGAGAGAGGTCAGGTGGGTGACAATGCCTTCTGGGGAGAGGCACCAGCAAGAAGGAATCTGTGTTAAGTGGCATAAAACGAGTAAAATTGTATCCAATTTCCCTTGCCATGGACTGCCTCATGAGGAGGGGTGGTGTATCACCAAGAGGGGATACCACAGTCGTTTCACCTGGGCAGTCAGCCCAGCTCTTGGAGGGTGTGGCTGGGGTCATGAGCCCCAGGGCAACGGGATGACCCGAGCTGGGTTGGGAAGAGATCAGGAGGCAGGAGAGCGTCCACAGGGGACGGAAAGAAGAGCCCCGAGCCAGACCCTCGGCAAAACCCCGATGACCCTCGGAGACACCAACCGAAGCGGGCACCTCGGACCCCACGAGACCTCAAAGGAACACGACCAGGTCTTTACTTTCTGCGCGAGCGAAGGCCGCCTGGATGCTGGCGAACACCACGTCGGGAGACTGCGCCGCGTCCACCGCGGTGTGCAGCCCACGCCGCTGATAGTAGCCGATGAGAGGGCTTGTTTGCATGTGATACGACGCCAACCGCGACGCCAGCGCCTGCTCGTTGTCGTCCGAGCGCCGGATGAGAGGCTCTCCCGTCACCTGCGTCGCCACGGGGAAGAAACACGAGGCAAACGCTCAGGACACCGCAGTGGAGCGATGGACCAAACCACTCCACAGTAGCGCGAGCAGAAGAAGCAGGCCCAGAAGGGCATGGCGAGGGTGGCACTCACGTCATCACGCATGGGCACAATTGGGGGATTGAACTCCTCGTGGTAGGAGCGCCCACTCTCTTTGTGAATCAGCCTGGAACACGACGGGCAGACAAGACAGACATTACTGGGTTCTGGCACAGCATTGAGCTGTTGCGTGTTTAATGGGAGAGTGCTCTTACAGTTTTAATGATTATGGCTGTAGCCATATTTGCGACTGTGGGATAGTGGTGAAGTGGTAGCATACTGCGCTACAAATCCAGTGACCCAAGCTTAAATCCCAGCCATGGTTAACACCAGCCGCTAGTGATATCCGAGTCGCTCCTCCAAAGCATCCCTCCCCAGGGTAACGCAGCCTTAAATGAGCACTCTGCGTGGTGTGTCATCATCAGGACTAAGAATAAAAATATGGCCGGGTGTGTTGCTCACCACACCGCCTCCCCGTGCACTGTACCGGCCATCACAAGTGCACTGCCGGTATGCTCGCAGCACCTCCCCCAACAGCCTGTGCAGGCTAGGTGGGGTAAATTTCTGTTTGTCGTCATAACTGTTGCTATGAATGTGGTTATAACTGGCTGTAACTATAGCGATGAATGTGGCTATGATTTTGTGGTTGTGGATGACTCCCATACCGGCCACAGATGCGACGGATGAGCAGGGAGTCGTCCACTTGGAACTCGACGACAGAGTTGAGTTTCTCTTTCCTCTGATCCAACAAATCATCGAGCTGTGTGATACAAGCCACTTTATTATAATACCCCCTCATCACATAATACAACCATTCACCACCACACACTCCCTCGTCACACACCCCTTGACCACACCACACAACCCGTCATCATCACTCGCCCACTCATACCGCTTACCCACTCGCCTACCTCATCCGGTCACCACACCACCTTACCCCCTCAACACACTGCTTGCCACCTCACCACGCAACTCGCCCCACTCACACAGGAGACCCCCGCTCACCATCTCGGCCTGGCGCACAGTGCGTGGGAAACCATCCAGCAAGAATCCCTTACTGCAGGCTGGGCTGTCCAAGTTCTGCTCAATCAATTCCACCACCATCTCATCGCTCACCTGCACAAAGACAAACACAGATGCACAGACACATGGACACATGGGCACGTACACAAACGTGCACGCACGCGTACAACCTCAGATAAGTATCTGGTCATTGTGTAAACATCAGCATTAGATAAAGATGGCCACGCACCATGCCAGCCTTCATAGGTGCTTGCTAACAGCAATAGCGCCACCATCCTGGAAAGCTACTACGAGAGGTCTGTGTGTGGGAATCGGCGCCCACCAACTTTCCGGCGTCCATCGTCTCCTTGAGGCGTCGCCCCAGCGTGGAGCCGCTGGACACCATGGCACGCAGCATGTCTCCCGTGGACAGGTGGCAAACGCAGTACTCCTCCGCCAGCCGTGGGGCCTGCAGTGCACACACACGCACCATATGCGACACATGTATTACACAAGCACGTCATACACGACATCTACTACACATCCGCAAACATAAATCATCTATATATATAAAATCGTTCATGTCTGTCTGTCTGTGTGTGTGTGTGTGGACTTTGGCCCATACGCACTTTCATTGGACGGCGGTTGCCCCTGGCAACGGCTAGCCACGCCTTCGCCGCTTTCATTGGACCTGGCAACGGCTAGCCACGCCTTCGCCAAGGGCTGCAGTTTCATTGGACGGCGGTTGCCCCTGCCAACGGCTAGCCACGCCTTCGCCACTTTCATAAGCTCCGTATTTAATTAAATAATAGCCATTACACAGTATTGTTGGAGCGCTAGGGGGGGGGGGAAGGAACGCCACCCGTACCCTGCCTTTTCCAAGCCGACAATTTTAGGCGAGGCCGCAGGCTTTGCACGCTACTAGGCCTCGACACCCACCACGCCACTCTGAGGTAAATTCATCAAAGTTTTTCCTACTCTTCACTACACCCCCACCACAATGTGTGCTATTAATATTACTTTTAAACCCAACGCGCCAACAATCGATTACTTTAATGTTCACTGTACAAATACTCATTAAGCTGGGTGAGCGTACTGCCAGTCTATCATGTACACTGTAGCCTGCTTATTAAGCTCGGTGAGCGTACTGCCACTCTATCATGTACACTCTAGCCTGCTTATGAAGCTGAGTGCATGTACTGGCAGTCTATAATGTGGACTCTTGCCTGGTTATTATAATCGATTCTTTATATGTTCTTTGTACAAACAGTCATTAAGCTGCTTGAGCGACCCCAGTTCGATTCCAACTCACGCCCACCACCGCTGACGATTATTTGAAACGGACCTGGCCCTCCCCTAGGTCCACTCAGCCTCAAAAGCGTAACTGCTGTCGTGTGTGAACATCGTCACTGGGGAGACAAAGGCGGCGGGGCATCGTGGATCCAAGTCCCGGGCGAAGCCGGGTCATGTGTATGTGTGTTTGTGTTTATGTGTATGTCTGTGTGTCTCTATGTATGTGTGTATGTATGTGTATGTATGTGTTTGTGTGTATGTGTGTGTGTATGTATGTGGGTTTTTTTTTATGTCTTTATGTGTATGTCTGCGTGTCTCTATGTATGTGTGTATGTACGTGTGTGCATGTGTTTGTGTGTATGTATGTGTGTGTCTATGTGTGTGTCTATGTATGTGTGTGTATGTGTTTCTGTGTATGTATGTGTGTGTATGTATGTGTGTTACGTGTCTGTCTGTGTGTCTGCATGTATGTGTGTGTGTATTGTGTATGTGTTTGTGTGCATGTATGTGTGTGTTTGTGTGTATGTGTATGTCTGTGTGTTTGTATGTGTGTGTATGTGTGTGTATGTGTTTGTGTGTATGTGTGTGTATGTATGTGTGTGTATGTGTTTGTATGTGTTTGTGTGTTTACGCTCGCATTACACAAATGTGTTGCTGGTCTAAGGCGTTCCTCGCACAGCATTGCCGCTTTATTATTTCAGTCGTTTACTGCCTTACGCACCCTGAAAGTCGTGTGTGTCTGCAGCAAGCGCGTGTATGTGTACCTATGGACGCGCGCGCGTGTGTTGTGTAGGGGGAACGGTAGTGTAGTGCTTAGCGTGCTGTCTGTGTCTGTGTGTGTGTCTGTGTGTGTGTCTGTGTGTGTGTCTGTGTGTGTGCGTGTGTGGTGTGTGGGGAGCGGTAGTGTAGTGCTTAGCGTGCTGTCTGTGTGTGTGTGTGTCTGTCTGTGTCTGTCTGTGTGTGTCTGCGTGTGTCTGTGTGTGTGTCTGTGCGTGTGTGGTGTGTGAGGAGCGGTGGGTGTAGTGCTTAACGCTACGCTGCGCTACCAACCCGGCGAACCGAGTTCGATTCCCGCTCACGGCCACCACCGGTGACGATTATTTGAACCTCCCCTAGGTCGACTCAGCCTCAAACGAGTAACTGGTGTGGCGTATTAACATCGGCACTTGGGAGACAAAGGCGGCCGGGCGTGGTGGATCCAAGTCCCGGGCGAAGCCGGGTAGTACAGCTAGTACACTATACATACATAGACATACATGATACAAAGATCCTCCATATAGCCTGAACAGACTGTTGGGGCAAGTGCTAGCACCTATGAAGGCCGGGACGGCACACGAGGGGGTGGGTGACCAACACCACGCCCAGCCACCTGTGTATCCCGAGTGGTGATGTTTACACTTCCCCCACCAGGTACTCATTTGAGGCTGAGTCGACTCAGGGGAGACCCAGGACCAGTTTAGATTGTTAATGGTGTTGGTGGCCGTGAGCGGGAATTGAACTTGGGTTGCCGGGTTCGTAGCGCAGCACGCTAACCGCTCCCCACCATGATACAGTATACACACACACAGCAGATGTCATACACTACACATGGGGCGGTGTCAGTGGTCGCGGGTTAACCATTTGTGGGTCAAAATCAGCAAGCCGCCGTGGTGAATGCTGTAACCGTAAGATTTAGTCATCCAGTGCGCCGACCTGGACTGGCCTTTAACCTCACGTGAATGTCCGTATGTGGTGGCAGTTGGATATTTTGGGTTAAGGTTTCACAATGAGACTGTCGCCCTGTAAATAATCCGACAGATGCCCTTTAACAGACTGTTGCTGGGGAAAGTTCTTTGGGTGAGCACATAAAAGTTCACACACCCTTGATTCACACAAACCTTCACACCCATTATGTACAGAGACAAAGATCCCCCGTATAACCTTAACAGGCTGTTGGGGTAATTATGTACACACCTTTACACACGCATTATGTACAAATTCACGCATTGTACAAACTTTCATACACATCCAGAGATGCAAACTCTCCCACAAAACATTATCACACTGCAACAGACGTGCAAATACACAGATAAGACAGCATCATAAACACCGCAACCACCACCATTCGCCTCGGAGAGCCAGCCACGTCCACACAGCGATTGTGTTAGGCGAGGATTGTGCAACGCAAAAAACACAAACATCACCGCCATTCACCACGTGAAGTGTCGAAGGCTCGCTGGCAGGTCACAGAACAGACCCAGGTGCCATGGGTTGACTAAGAGACAGGCTTTCACACACGCACCTTCACAAGCACACACACACAATTGTGCACGCAAAGACGCCAGGCGCACACCTTCACACACAAGACAAAGTTCCCCTTTATAGCCTCAAAATACGTTTGAGGCAAGTGCTGCAGGCGAGCACCTATGAAGGCCGAAAGGGTACACGAGGTGGGTGGCCAGATCAACGCCCGACCGCCTTTGTCTCCTCGGTGGCGATGTTTACACACCGCACTCGGTAGCTAACTGAGGCCGGTCTGGCCGTGAGCTGCGCTGCCCGGCCCCGCCAGGGTGGGTGGGTGCAGCCGTCGTCCCGCGGCGCTTTGCCGCCGTCAGGAATCCGGCCGCACAGCGTCCCCGCTGCAGGGGGGGGCACCCGGGGGGCGGGGGGGGGCCTGCTGCCCCCCCCCGCCCCTCACCAGTGACGTCAGCATCGCCCGAGATGGGACACGAATTCCAGGGCCTCCCCACCCCTCATGCCATGTCCTCGTAACACACCTCACCACGCATCCCTCTCACCCTCCCCGTAACCCCCCTCACCCCCCACCTCGCCCCCCACCCCACCCCCACCCCAACTCACCTCCACCCCCACCTCACGTCCACCTCACCTCCACCTCACCTCCACCCCACATCACCCCCCACCTCGCCCCCCACCCCCCTCACCCCCCACCTCGCCCCCCACCCCACCCCCACCCCAACTCACCCCCACCCCACCCCCACCTCACCTCCACCCCACCTCACCTCCACCCCACCTCACCTCCACCCCACCTCACCTCCACCTCACCTCCACCCCACCTCACCCCCACCTCACCCCCACCTCACCTCCACCCCACATCACCCCCCACCTCGCCCCCCACCCCACCCCCACCCCAACTCACCTCCACCCCCACCTCACGTCCACCTCACCCCCACCTCACCCCCACCTCACCTCCACCCCACATCACCCCCCACCTCGCCCCCACCCCACCTCCCCTCGCCCCAACCACGGTACAGTTCTCACCCGCGACCTCCATCACCTCTCACGACCCTTTCTCGCCCCTCCCTTGTCGCCTCGCCCCTCTTCTCGTCACCTCGCACCGTGCCCGCCTCAAACCGATACCTCCCCTCGAGCCCGACGTCTCTTTAGCTCTCCTGAATTCAATTAAATCTCTCCGTCCTCTGATCCAATCACCACTTCATCTTTCCCCACCAACCTCTACCCTCAACCCGTCTCTTCACCAAACGTCTCTCATCACCTCCCCTCGCCGCGACCCTTCCCCTACATTCACCCGTCAACTCCCCTTCCCCTCCTCCTCCATCGGGCTCCCTCGCCCACCCTTGGCCTCACCTCCCCCACCCCTCACCCCTCACCTCCCCCACCCCTCACCCCTCACCTCCCCCACCCCTCACCCCTCACCTCCCCCACCCCTCACCCCTCACCTCCCCCACCCCTCACCCCTCACCTCCCCCACCCCTCACCTCCCCCACCCCCCACCCCTCACCTCCCCCACCCCTCACCTCCCTCACCCCTCACCTCCCCCACCCCTCACCCCTCACCTCCCCCACCCCTCACCCCTCACCCCCCTCACCCCTCACCCCTCACCTCCCCCACCCCTGACGGTCCTCACCCCTCACCTCCCCCACCCCTCACCTCCCTCACCCCTCACCTCCCTCACCCCTCACCTCCCCTCACCCCTCACCCCCTTCACCCCTCACCTCCCCCACCCCTGACGGTCCTCACCCCTCACCTCCCCCACCCCTCACCTCCCTCACCCCTCACCTCCCTCACCCCTCACCCCTCACCTCCCCCACCCCTCACCCCTCACCCCCCTCACCCCTCACCTCCCCCACCCCTGACGGTCCTCACCTGGGTCCCCTTCCCGGCCCCCGGGGGTCCGAGCAGCACCGCGCGGATCCCGCGGCGCATCTCGGCCGCGAGCCCCGCGCTGCGCCCCGCGTCGCGCTCCGCGTGAACCTGCGGCGCCATGAGGAGGGTGAGGAGGACGATGAGGAGGAGGGCGAGGAGTAGGAGGGTGAGGAGGACGATGAGGAGGAGGGCGAGGAGTAGGAGGGTGAGGAGGACGATGAGGAGGAGGGCGAGGAGTAGGAGGGTGAGGAGGACGATGAGGAGGAGGAGGAGGGCGAGGAGGAGGAGGCGGCCACGCGTGCGAGGAGAGGACGCGACCCGGGACCGGAAATTCCACGACTCGCGATGCACGGAACCGGAAAAACGTCACTGCGACTGTGACGTCAGTGCATGACGCCATGTTTTTTGTTGATGACGTCATCCGGCTGCGATTCCGTGACGTCATTTATCCACGTGCATCTTTGGGGGACGAGGCGGTCTCCGCGTGATCGAGACCGCGATCAGAAGTCCTGCCTCTGTAGCAGGTCGGGGGTCTCTGTGATGGGGCCCCCCCTGTGGCCATGGCCCGTGGTGGTGGGAGGCTGCGTGGTGGTGGTGGGCTGTGTGGTGGTGGTGGGCTGTGTGGTGGTGGTGGTGGGCTGCGTGGTGGTGGTGGGCTGTGTGGTGGTGGTGGGTGGTAGTGGGCTGCGATGGTGGTGGTGGAGTGTGGTGGTGGTGGAGTGTGGTGGTGGTGGTGGTGGGCTGTGTGGTGGTGGGCTGAGTGGTGGTGGTGGGCTGAGTGGTGGTGGTGGGCTGAGTGGTGGTGGGCTGAGTGGTGGTGGTGGGCTGTGTGGTGGTGGGCTGAGTGGTGGTGGTGGGCTGAGTGGTGGTGGTGGGCTGAGTGGTGGTGGTGGGCTGAGTGGTGGTGGTGGGCTGTGTGGTGGTGGGCTGTGTGGTGGTGGGCTGTGTGGTGGTGGTGGGCTGTGTGGTGGTGGTGGTGGGCTGTGTGGTGGTGGGCTGAGTGGTGGTGGTGGGCTGAGTGGTGGTGGGCTGAGTGGTGGTGGTGGGCTGTGTGGTGGTGGTGGGCTGTGTGGTGGTGGGCTGTGTGGTGGTGGGCTGAGTGGTGGTGGTGGGCTGTGTGGTGGTGGGCTGTGTGGTGGTGGGCTGTGTGGTGGTGGGCTGAGTGGTGATGGTGGGCTGTGTGGTGGTGGTGGTGGTGGGCTGTGTGGTGGTGGTGGGCTGTGTGGTGGTGGGCTGAGTGGTGGTGGTGAGCTGAGTGGTGGTGGTGGGCTGTGTGGTGGTGGGCTGTGTGGTGGTGGGCTGAGTGGTGGTGGTGGGCTGTGTGGTGGTGGTGGTGGGCTGTGTGGTGGTGGGCTGAGTGGTGGTGGTGGGCTGAGTGGTGGTGGGCTGAGTGGTGGTGGTGGCCTGTGTGGTGGTGGTGGGCTGTGTGGTGGTGGGCTGTGTGGTGGTGGGCTGAGTGGTGGTGGTGGGCTGAGTGGTGGTGGTGGGCTGAGTGGTGGTGGGCTGAGTGGTGGTGGTGGGCTGTGTGGTGGTGGGCTGAGTGGTGGTGGTGGGCTGAGTGGTGGTGGTGGGCTGAGTGGTGGTGGTGGGCTGTGTGGTGGTGGGCTGTGTGGTGGTGGGCTGTGTGGTGGTGGGCTGTGTGGTGGTGGGCTGAGTGGTGATGGTGGGCTGTGTGGTGGTGGTGGTGGTGGTGGGCTGTGTGGTGGTGGTGGGCTGTGTGGTGGTGGGCTGAGTGGTGGTGGTGTGCTGAGTGGTGGTGGTGGGCTGTGTGGTGGTGGGCTGTGTGGTGGTGGGCTGAGTGGTGGTGGTGGGCTGTGTGGTGGTGGTGGTGGGCTGTGTGGTGGTGGGCTGAGTGGTGGTGGTGGGCTGAGTGGTGGTGGGCTGAGTGGTGGTGGTGGCCTGTGTGGTGGTGGTGGGCTGTGTGGTGGTGGGCTGAGTGGTGGTGGGCTGAGTGGTGGTGGTGGCCTGAGTGGTGGTGGTGGCCTGAGTGGTGGTGGTGGGCTGTGTGGTGGTGGGCTGTGTGGTGGTGGGCTGAGTGGTGGTGGTGGGCTGTGTGGTGGTGGGCTGAGTGGTGGTGGTGGGCTGTGTGGTGGTGGGCTGTGTGGTGGTGGGCTGTGTGGTGGTGGGCTGAGTGGTGGTGGGCTGTGTGGTGGTGGGCTGAGTGGTGGTGGTGGGCTGAGTGGTGGTGGTGGGCTGAGTGGTGGTGGTGGGCTGTGTGGTGGTGGGCTGAGTGGTGGTGGTGGGCTGAGTGGTGGTGGTGGGCTGAGTGGTGGTGGTGGGCTGAGTGGTGGTGGTGGGCTGAGTGGTAGTGGTGGTGGTGGGCTGAGTGGTGGTGGTGGGCTGAGTGGTGGTGGTGGCCTGTGTGGTGGTGGGCTGTGTGGTGGTGGGCTGAGTGGCGGTGGGCTGTGTGGTGATGGGCTGAGTGGTGGTGGTGGCCTGTGTGGTGGTGGGCTGAGTGGTGGTGTGCTGAGTGGTAGCAGCAGCAGCAGCAGCGACCCCGCTGGAGGGAGATGACGCGGCGCTGGGAGCCGCTTAGGTCATCGTGGCCACCGACGCGGCGCCGCGGCTTTATTCCGTAATCCGCCCCGGATTGGGCCGCGATGGCCCCTCCGAAGCTCCCAGCTACACGCGAGGATTACAGACCGAGGTCGCCCATGACCCCCGCTGCGAGCCTCGTAGAACGGGACAGGGACGGGGGGATGCGTCTACACCGCCGCCGCCACTCGGCTGATGCACAGCGGAGATTGCGAAACGCCGGTGGATGTCGAGCATCAGCTGCTGATTAGTGCGGTACGATTGGGATTAGTGTCGCTTCATAGTGCAACCGCATTGAAATACAATCTGCTGCATCTGTGGACATTCATTTTGAGAGCGGGGCAGTCGAGCAGAGTAAAAATAAATTAAATCCTTGAGCTTTGACTACGAGGGTGGCTGGGGGGAAGAAGTTTCAGACAATGGAGGCAGCAGAAGAGAATGAGCGAACTACCCCCCCCCCCCTAAATATCCACTAACAGCTGATGTTCACACATCACATAGTTGATGGTAAAATTGATGTTCACACATCTGATGATTCTACAGCTGGTGTTAACATACAGTCGATGTCCACGTGTTCGCCAAGTCACTGTCCCCAGCCCCACCGTCCGCCGCTCAGCGCCGTTATTTTTAGTCGCATTGCCCCGCGCCCTTCACGGAGCAAACGTTTACGCAATTCGCTGAGCGCCCCTTGGGGGGGGGGGGGCAGCTGGAGCTCCTCCCATCCTCCCCACTCTCACCTGGGTCAAACTCTCGCACTCGTCCACCCCCACTCCCCCCAGGTATAGGGCAGCGGTAGGAACAGATCGGGCAAGACACCAAAGGAAAGGACAGACGGGATGAGACGAGGACCAGACAGTACAATAGTCCAGGGTGCGTTTAATGGCCACGCTGCGTTTATTGCGCCAGCGTGGGACGGAATGCTATAGAAGAAATGTTTACAAATGCTTCACTGTAAACTGATCATGCACAACACCTACCCGGCCCCCACAACCCACACAGGTGCCCCCCACCTCCGTACTCTGTGCGGACGAGACCCCTCGTGCTCTGGAACCTCCCTCGTTGAGTTATTTACTCATTCCAGGTCACAAAACCTCCAAACCACCCTAACCCTAATTCAATCCCCACAGGCGAGACTTCCCTTCCACACCTGGATATTGAGTGCTGTCCACTCCACAGTGCAGAATCCAACAACGACGCAGGGATTTGTCCCCAAGCAGCCCGAAACACATTCTCACAGCAAAACCCATTGCGCCAAGAGAACCAGGCTTGGGGATGGCGACTTGGAGAAGAATACTGGATGAGGTTGTGGGAGTGTGGAGGGCCTTACATTACGGACATCACTACAAAAATTGTTAAAATACAAAACCACCTCCACAGCCTCGTTCTTCTTACACAGGATGGGGCCGTTCCCCATATGCGTCATGGCAGTCCCACTCTTTGGCCTGGAGGCCACAAAGGTCGGCGTGGCTTCACGTGGTTCCATACCACTCACCGTGCCCAGCACGGAGCGCCATGCCCTCTGGCACACGTGGGCTCACTAACAACTCAAAAGTCACAAACAACTCCAAGTTCAATATGAAAGACCAGGTTCACCGTTGACTCAAAGGTTACAAGTGCCTCAGGGCTCACCAATGATAACCAGGTTCAACAATGACACTGGGTTCACCAACGACTCCACGTTCAACACTTAACACCAGGCTCACAAAGAACCCCTGGTTCAACAGTGACCCCAGGCCAGAACGTCCCCCCACGGCACCATCATATGGTCAAGATGCGTCCCAAAGTGTTCCCTTTGCTCACATAGCCCCACACGGACACACGACCGCGACGTCACGGCAACACAAAAGCAGCGACCGGAGCTGCAGGTGAGGCCGGTGTTTTGGATGGTGGTGGGGCCTGAGCTCGGGCCGCCATTGTTCTCCCCAGCCAGCACCACCTGGCAACGAGCACCAGCACTCACTGCGACTCATCTGAACCCCGACACTGCATGGTGGGGCTCGTTCAGATGACAGCTGGGACGATTAATTGATCAAGTGAATTGATTAAACGTCGTCTGTGCTTAAGTGACACACGTGGGAACTGAGATAAACATTATTCCAACTATGTTGGTATTGGTCGTGTAATGGGACTGGTAATTAGGAGAGAAATTGATTGATTACTTAAATAATCGGTTATCCCAGCTCAAGTTCTGAGCTAGCCGTTTAAGACAGCAATGCTTTCTGGGCCCTTTATCAAGCGAATCAAAAAAGGCAGCAGCAGCAGCCACTCTCATAACCTCCACTGGAAGAGCAATTATAAATAATCTCTTTAAATTGAACACATTGGGAATGTGAGCAGCATCCGCCAAGACCCCACAGGGCTAGAGGCGTCATTTGGATTTCCCCGGATATCCCCCGTGCTGGAAGTTTCAGCATCGCCCGTGCCACCTGCAGCTCCTCACGCTGCTCCCTCAACACGAAACGGATACACGCGCAGGCAAATTACACTCACACACCTAAGACAACGCTATCGACTGAACCTCAGGACTGCCGAGGACAAGTAGCGGTGGCTGAGCAAGCACTTCCTGCTCCACCGGATGCTACCGTGGTCCCGCCGGGGCTGTAAGAAGCAACCAAAGTGGTGGTGCCACCCAAGAATGGTGCCTTTAACCCCCACCCCCCCTTCCTGCCACCGCCCAGATATTCAGGGAGTGTCCTGCTGTGGTACGTGGACACCAAGTGTCGCGTGGTGTGGTGCATGCATAACACGGAATGTCATTTGGTACCCAGAGTATGCTGTGGTGTGCGCAATACATGCGGTGTGGGTGTAGTGTGTCTGGTACATGCGGAGTGATGTATTCAGGAAATGTTGTGTAGCGCATGCATAATGCGGAATATATAATTTGGTATACACAGTGTGGTGTGTGGTCCACAATGTGTGTGGTACTTGTGAGTTGTGCGCCGACTGTGGTAATGTGAGGTTTGGTGCATGACATACATCAGACATTGCGCGGTGAGTGTGGTACATGTGATGTGGTACTTGAGGTGTGATGTTGTATGTGTTGAGATACATATTATGTGGAATGTTTTACGTCACACGATACGTGTGGCGATGTGTGGTGCGATACACAGTGGAATGTGTGATATGGTACACAGGGTGTGAAGTGTTTGGTGTGGTACACGTGGGGTGGTATGCAAGGTGTGCTGCGCGATGTGTGGTGTGGTAGCTGCAGCATTGTACACAAAGTAGGGTACGATGCGCGTGGTGTAGCATGATGATACATGCGGTGCGATTGGTACACTCATTGTGGTACGTGAAGTGTGATATGGTAAGCGAGGTATTGTGAGGTACACGGGACGTCGCGTGCTCCGTGCTTTGGTGCTGCTGGATGAGCGCTCGCCTCCTCAGAACTGTGTGGCGCCGGACGGGTCGCACTGCAGCAGCCGAACAATGGAAGGGTCATTCTTGGCTCCAGCAATGAACTCCTCGAGGGAGAGTTTGCCTGTTGCACACAGACACCCAGTTACAAACCAATACACACACCAACACACAAACAGCAATTACACGAATATAAACATTAATGCACCTATACACACACACACACCAACCCACACATAAAAAACAGCGACAGGCACGTACACACACACACCAATAATCACAGACCATCACAAGAGTGCACTCATACTCTGACACAGCGGTTTTGGAAGGGGCTGCCCACTCAACTAAGCAGCTGAGCCTAATCCCTCATACCGCATTGAGGCTGAGTGCAAGGGCTGGGGGGTTGAGCATGTGTGATGTCACTGCACCATACCGTCGTGGTTCTTGTCCATCTGCCTGAAGATCTTGTCAGTGCGTTTCTCAGGTGTCGACTCATCCTCCGGCATCTTCATCACGGAGGAGACCATCTTGTAGATGGCCTAGAGATGGATGTAGTGTGCAAGAGAATCCCACAAACACCGACTTAGACGACATCACCACCTGCACCCACCACCCCCTCACCTACATTACCTCCATCTCCATTACATCCATTCCCACCTTCACTTCCTCAGTTACAACCCCCCCCCCTTTACCTCTTCTGCCTCACCACCCAGATCACTCCCTCCCCATCACCTTCGTTACCACATCCATCACCGCCTCACCTATACCACTTAACGTACACCCTCCTCACCACCTCCACCACCTTCCTCACTGCCGCCGCCCACTCACCTGTACGATCTCTAGCATCTCCTCCCGACTGATGTAGCCGTTGCCGTCCAGGTCGTACATGCTGAAGGCCCATTTGAGCTTCTGCTCGAGCTTGCCGCGCGACGTCACGCTCAGCGCCACGATGAACTCGCGGAAGTCGATGGTGCCGTCGCCGTTGGCGTCGAAGGTACGAAACACGTGTTCGGCGAACTTGGACGCGTCGCCGTACGGGAAGAAGTTCCCATAGATCTTCTTGAACTCGTCCACCGTGAGGCTGCCCCCTGGACAGTCCTTGAGGAAGCCTTTGTACCACTCCTGCAGCTCCTGCTCCGAGAACTCGGTGCTCTCCCGCAGGTCCTGCAGCGCCTCGGGCCGCAGCTTGCTGTTCTGCTTGCCCATGCTGGCCCCAGCCCTGCACCTCCTGCTAGGAGAGAGGGGAACACCAAGGGGATATCAGAGCACATAGGGAGTGGACAACCACGGTCGAGACCACGGGGACACCATGGCATATCAAAGGGATAGCAAGAGGATGACCATGGGAATGATCATGCGGGGATGTCAAAGGAAAAAACGGATAGCAAGTCGATAACCATTGAGAAGACCGTGTGGGCACCACGGGGATAGTAATGAAAAGGGGACTCCCACAGGGAAAGAAAAGGTTTGATATCACGGGGACACCATGGGGACAAACAGGATATCACGGGGACACCATGGAGACAAAAGGGGACAGACAGGATATCAAGGGGATATCACGGGGACACCACGGGGACACAGAAGTACCATGGGACCACAAAGTGTAATAAAGGAGCCATGATTCACCAGTCTGGGTTCCCGCACTCACCGGGTCCACTCACTCACTGGGGTATGCTGACTCAGTAGGTCCACTCACTCACTGGGGTATGCTGACTCACCGGGTCCACTCACTCACTGGGGTATGCTGACTCAGTAGGTCCACTAACTCACTGGGGTATGCTGATTCAGTGGGTCCACTCACTCACTGGGGTATGCTGATTCAGTGGGTCCACTCACTCACTGGAGTATGCTGACTCAGTAGGTCCACTCACTCACTGGGGTATGCTGACTCAGTAGGTCCACTAACTCACTGGGGTATGCTGACTCAGTGGGTCCCCTCACTGGGGTATGCTGACTCAGTAGGTCCCCTCACTCACTGGGGTATGCTGACTCAGTCGGTCCACTAACTCACTGGGGTATGCTAATTCAGTGGGTCCACTCACTCACTGGAGTATGCTGACTCAGTAGGTCCACTCACTCACTGGGGTATGCTGACTCAGTAGGTCCACTAACTCACTGGTGTATGCTGACTCAGTGGGTCCCCTCACTCACTGGGGTATGCTGACTCAGTAGGTCCACTCACTCACTGGGGTATGCTGACTCAGTGGGTCCATTCACTCACTGGGGTATGCTGACTCAGTGGGTGCCCTCACTCACTGGGGTATGCTGACGCAGTGGGTCCACTCACTCACTGGGGTATGCTGACTCAGTGGGTCCCCTCACTCAAGGGGGTATGCTGACTCACCGGGTCCACTCACTCACTGGGGTATGCTGACTCAGTGGGTCCCCTCACTCAAGGGGGTATGCTGACTCATCGGGTCCACTCACTCACAAGGGTATGCTGACTCAGTAGGTCCACTCACTCACTGGGGTATGCTGACTCAGTGGGTCCACTCACTCACTGGGGTATGCTGACTCAGTGGGTCCACTCACTCACTGGGGTATGCTGACTCAGTGGGTCCCCTCACTCAAGGGGGTATGCTGACTCACCGGGTCCACTCACTCACTGGGGTATGCTGACTCAGTGGGTCCCCTCACTCAAGGGGGTATGCTGACTCACCGGGTCCACTCACTCACAAGGGTATGCTGACTCAGTAGGTCCACTCACTCACTGGGGTATGCTGACTCAGTGGGTCCACTCACTCACTGGGGTATGCTGACTCAGTGGGTCCCCTCACTCACTGGGGTATGCTGACTCAGTAGGTCCACTCACTCACTGGGGTATGCTGACTCAGTGGGTCCACTCACTCACTGGGGTATGCTAACTCAGTAGGTCCACTCACTCACTGGGGTATGCTGACTCAGTAGGTCCACTCACTCACTGGGGTATGCTGACTCAGTAGGTCCACTCACTCACTGGGGTATGCTGACTCAGTGGGTCCACTCACTCACTGGGGTATGCTGACTCAGTGGGTCCCCTCACACACTGGGGTATGCTGACTCAGTAGGTCCACTCACTCACTGGGGTATGCTGACTCAGTGGGTCCACTCACTCACTGGGGTATGCTGACTCAGTAGGTCCACTCACTCACTGGGGTATGCTGACTCACCGGGTCCACTCACTCACTGGGGTATGCTGACTCAGTGGGTCCCCTCACTCACTGGGGTATGCTGACTCAGTGGGTCCCCTCACTCACTGGGGTATGCTGACTCACCGGGTCCACTCACTCAAAGGGGTCCCTCAATCACGGTGATATTGGTAACATCACTCAGCCGGGTCCCCTCACTCAGCCCGGGCCCTCACTCACCGGGGTCCCCTCAGCGGGGTCCCCTCACTCACCTTGGTCCCCTCACCGGGTCCCCTCACTCACCTTGGTCCCCTCAACGGGGTGTGGGTCCCCTCACCGAGTCCCCTCACTCACCGGGTCCCCTCACTCACCGGGGTCCCCTCACTCACCTTGGTCCCCTCACCGGGTCCCCTCACTCACCTTGGTCCCCTCAACGGGGTGTGGGTCCCCTCACCGAGTCCCCTCACTCACCGGGTCCCCTCACTCACCGGGGTCCCCTCACTCAGCGGGGTCCCCTCACTCACCGGGGTTCGGCTCCCCTCGCCTCCCCCGCCTCCCCCGCCTTCCCGTGTCTCTAGGCCCCGCGCCGCCTCCGCGACCCCCCGAGTCTGCGAAGCCGCGTTCTGCCGTGCGCTCGAGGGGGTGCTGAGGGGGCTGAGGGGGTCGAGGGGAGAGGGGGACAAAAGGGGTCCGTGGGGATCGCAGGGGTCGGGCTCCGCGCTCTGGGATCAGCGGCGGCGATTCCATGGGGCGGGGCCAGCGGGGCGGGGCCAGCGGGCGGGGCGGGGCCAGCGGGCGGGGCGGGGCCAGCGGGCGGGGCGGGGCCAGCGGGGCGGGGCCAGCGGGGCGGGGCCAGAGGGGCGGGGCCAGCGGGGCGGGGCCGAGCGCGTGACGTCACGGGGATGGGACTGTCCGAGATCAGTAATTAGAATCTTCAGACTGGATGGATAATAATCATAATCACCACACGTGATGCATCATAATCCTCACGGAATAGTTAGACTAACCGAGTCGGTCAATGATATCAATTGTAATTCGATCAAACGACGAATGGATGCACGATCTGGTGAATGAGTGGGTTAATTACTCGGTGAATGAATTAGCTGGTAGAGATAGAAATTTTTTCATTTAGTGCATGAACGAGTTTATGAATGCCCAAGTGGAAGAATGAATATGCTGGTGAATGAATGAGTTCTGGAACAAAGTTGTAATGTTACACGTGCTTGTGAATGTTAAATGGGGAGAACGCCTACCTCAGGGTCACACCGTGCTCTCCACATACTCGCACACAGGATGAAACCTCAAACCGTTTCTGCAAAATACGTTTATTGGAACACATCCCATCCCGATGGCAGTATCCTGTCCAGACACATCCCAGCTCGGGACAGTGCCAAGAAGTGTGCCCAGCACGTGTTGTGCACTGGGCAGCACCGAGGGTAGCCCCCATAGAGTCGCTGCTCCTGCAAGGTGCCACCTGCCCAGTGCCACGGAGGGGCTTGCAGAGCGCACGAGCGGATGCGTCATCATGGCGAAACGGGCACATTCTCACCAACGATCTATTCGGGTTAGTTTGTTGCCCTTCAGCCGCACCTCCGATTCGTGCAATTGGCTACATATGCATGTTGAACTTCTTTCGCACTATACGTTGCCAACTGTGCTAATCGGAGGTGTGCGAGGGCAACTAAACACAAAAAGCAGTTATTTCACACGGATGGTGCAAAAGAAGTTCTTCGTACATACCACACGTGTCATTTCACGTCGACTGCCACTGCACGCGAAAGTCTGGCTCCATACATAGCGCAGCTCCACAAAGACAACAGCTCCACGTGGAGGATTGCTCCATTAAGACCCGAGGTCAAATAATTCTAATAACCAATTGCTATCACTCTAAATAATTGTAATGTTATCTAACAATGCTATAATTGTAATTATAATTGACCACAGCTCTGGTTCCACGGAGAGCCTGTGTGTGGAGCCGCTCCAGGTGGAGCGTGGATGCACTGCTCACATGAGCGTGGGCTCAGGGCCGTGCGTTGTTGAAGCGCACGGATCTCACCACCCTGGCTGGCACACTGCCCAGCCCAGCTCCAGGTCGACTCAGAACCTCCTCCTCCCAACTATCACCCTCGCCATCACAGCTTCGCTGGTAAGAAAACGCAAGTGCTGGAGAAACGGTGGCAAGGTCATGGTGCCAGGAGTATGGGATAGCGAGTTCGTAAAATTTACTGGGTGGTGTGGGTCAGTATCATCAAGTTCGAGACCGAGCTATGCTCAAGCCTGCAACTGGTGTCACAAGCTCTCCCCGTCTCCATCCGTGCTTGTTTCCGTGGGCCTCCTGTGTTCCTGACGCGGGGTCCCGTGGGTCCCCTGGCAGGGCCCCCCCATGCTTGTCACACAATGACAGGCGCGAGCGAGCGGAAGAGGCGAGTGACGCAGCTCTGCAGCATCTCTCGCAGAACCTCATCCTCCTCCTCGTTCCCCTCGGCACACTCGGCACGCTGAGGACAAGGAAAAATTAGCTAGAAAGAGAGCGTTACATGAACACACACAATCCACTATCCCAGGCATCTCACTTGTCGGTACCAGTTGAGGAGGTGTGTCCTCAAGTAGTTGACCACTAACAATGATTCAATGTCATAACCTTTTGAAACGAGTGGGTTACTGTATATTCACTCACACAAGTGGCCTCGTGACCCACAAGAAGGTGAGAAGGGTGAGACTCACACACATGGCCCCGTTACCCACAAGGAATGAGAGGGGTGAGACTCACACACGTGTCCAGGGAGACGTTGACCGTGCGTCCGTCCACGCTCACCGAGAGGGCATCCCCAGCCTGCGACAGCGACACCGAGTCCTCTCCGAACATGTCGCTGTGTGGGGGTGGCACACGGCTCTGGTTAAACTGAACCACAAAGTCAAAAATAACTGAACCATGGCATACCACAACCGAAGCACATGGAGTGAGTAGCGCTCATAGCACCACGGGTCGCGGGCCACACACCTAAGCATGGTGAGGACCCTCTGCAGGAACACGGCGCTGTGCGTCTTCTCAGGTGGTCCATGGTGCGGAACTGCACACGACAGAGGGTGGTCAGTCAAGACCAGCACCACCAGCGCCTCCCCCCCCATTACTGCTGGTGCGCCCCTCCCACCGGCACGGCACCGGCTGCGTGCCCATATGATGGGCTGTTACCTTTGCAGAGCTTAGGGTTGGATTGAACTTCCAGTACTACCGTGACGACAGCGTCGGCGTACATATCACTCACGGGGTTGGCGACCCACTGCACACGATACACAGGGCACACGCACAGTACCCGAATGCAGCGCATACAGCTACATACAGATACACAGTTATAAAAGCAAGGGAACACTAAGCATACACACACAATACATACACGGATACACACAGCACAGGCATCCCAGATTGTTATTGCAAGTTCTGTTAGTGAGCACCTTATTCAGGCTGGTATGACACACAAGGGGGTGGTGTGACCAGTACTACACCCTGCTGCCTTTGTCTTCCAACTGCCGATGTATACACCACACCATGTTCTCATTTGAGTCGACCTAGGGGAGGCCCAGGACTGATCCAGATAAGCTGTTACTGGTGTTGGCAGTGAGCGGGATTCGAACTCGGAACACTGGATTCATAGGGCAGAGTGTTAACCACTTCACTACACAAAGCACACAAATACATGCTTGGCCACACATAACACAGGCATAGTACACAAACACAATGCATACACGGGCACAAACATGATGCACACAGCACAAACACAGCACTGCAAAAACTCAGCACACTCTTGGGCATTTAGCACATGTAACTACACACAGCAAATTCAAAGTGGTTAACACTCTGCCCACATTCAAAGTACACACACACAATGTACAGTACTCAAATACAGCACACATGGGACATCAGGTGGGGGGGGTTTGGGGGGCTCAGGGGGAGGGGCTAGAGGGCTTTGGGAGAATGTCACCTCCAGGACCACCATGCCAGGCTCCTGGATGATGGTGACGGCACGGAACACACGCAGCGCTGGCTTGTCTCCAACCTCCACCTCCTCCACGTCGCCTGCACACACACGGGTTACACAGGCACACAGCATATATACACCACGTTACACAGGCACACACACAAACCGCGTTACACAGGCACACAGACAGCATGGTCGTGTGGTAAGGGTGAGCATGATGAGGTTGAGAGCAGCGGTGTGGTGAGGTGAGCGTGGTGAGGGTGAGTATGGCGATGGTGAGTGTGGTACCAGCAAGCGTCTGGAGGTGATGGGCCAGCAGTGTGAGAGGCCCCGTGTACGGCACCGCCTGGCACTGGGTCACATGGCTCATCGTCAGCTCCGTGTAATCTGAATCACAACACAACAACACTCAATCACCTCTTCCTCCTCACCATCGTCTCCTTTACCCTCCTTCTTACCTCCAGTTAACCTCAGATCCATACTGACTCCATCACTGGTATCAATGGTGGGGGGCAGAGAGGGGTTGTGTGAGTGCGTGAGGGATAGCGTGGTATGTATGTTGAACTTATTTTGCACCATACGTAGCGAACCATGCTAATCGGGGCTGGTGGCAGTAGGGGGGCAGGGTGAGCTCACTGGACAGGTCGTTGGGGGCCAGGATGTGGTAGTTGAAGTTCCTCTTCACCAGAATCCCTGAAATCCTCTGCCCCTGCTCGGCCTTTCTCACCGCCAGCATTCCCATCACCTGGGGAGGGCGGCAGCAGCACACTGTGACACACGACACCACGCGTACTACAGCCCCACCGCTGTTCGGCACGCGACGAGTAAAGCGTCATAATTCAGGGTCACAATTTAGGTCCCGAATCGATTTTCATTTGGCTCCTCTCCATCGTCCATCTCATTTCTCATTATCACAGCGGTCAAGATCAAGATGTAATCAAGCCCACAGCCATCAATGCCACCAATACACCTCCTGCTACCAACGACTTCTGCTTTCCACCAGATCCCACAGTTGCTGCACAATCGACATTCAGAAATCTCCACGATCTGCCCTGACAGTCTCCCACCATCTGCTATTAGGCCTTCCCTGAGCCGTCAGACTCGTGGAGGCCGTTCCAATGCAACGGAACAACTGACCTTGGCAAGCTTCTCTCCGCGGAAGTGCAGCGCGACGGCTTCGGTGTTGCGTGGGTTGTGAACCTCCATCGACACCTCCTTGTTGTCCTCGTACTCACGGATGATGGCCGCCTTGAGCCGCCCCATCTCGTTCTGCTCCCCGTGCACCAACACCTGCGCTCAACCCACCCGACGATAACGACTACAGTCACAGAATGTCACCCACGACAACCAACCACGTATTCATACGCAGCCAGTCACCCACAACTATCAATCACGACCACAACCGCAACCACAACCATAGCCACAACTAGAGTCATCTGCAACTGTCGGTCATGACCATCAGCAGGCAACCATAGCCACAGCCACCACACGCCACCTCCACATGTGGAGCAGATACACGTCTTCACTCCAATACAACCACAGCTACACGTGTCCCCATGTCCCAGTGCCTCTCTGTCTGCATGTCTCCCTCTCTCTGTGTACCCGTGCCTCTGTCCCCATGCCTGCCATGTCCCCGCTTCCAAGTCCACATTCCCCCACGTCCCCCCATGTCCTCGCATACCACGTGTGGGGGTTTGAGTGCGCGGATGAACTCGCTCGTCTGCTGGTAGTCTGTGTGCGCCGAGAACGAGATGTAGTCCACCGACATCTTGAGTGGCAGCTTGAGGCCGGACATGGTCATGATCTCCTCAGGTTCCGACATGATGTGCTGAGGTCACATGGCACGCAGTGGCGTTAAGACACCGGCGACAGGGCAGGGTCGCAGGGAAGGCAGAGGATGTGTGACAGCAGTGGGCAGGAGTGGAGGAGTCCAGGGTAGCCATAAACAAATGTAGTTTAGGGGTTTAGATTAGAGGTAAATTGTCGGCTTTAGGGTTAGGCATAGTTTAAACCATATCACATTCCACTTGTTTATTCAGGATGGTCCTGTTAACTTTTCACAGGAGGAAGCAACAATTGTTGCGTCTCAAAAATTTAGTAATTTGCAAGTATTTTATTTTATTTTGGCAAATGTGGACCATGACGCTGGCACACATTGGTCTACTCTTCCTTGAATGACGTTACGATGTTTAACATCCACTGTGAAGCAGACAGTGCATATCTATGATTAATACACCCAAACTATCAGCAGGGTGGCCGTTTGTTCAAACCGTGCGTTCAAACTACAAGCAAGCGGCACACGTACTTATGCTTGACCACGTCACCAACCTGGTTAGGGGTCATGGTGAGATACAGGCACGCACGATGCGTAAGCGTTAGGGATTAGGTGTATACACTAGGGGGCCTGTGTATGGAAAGCGGCACCTTGGCGAGCGTGCCCTCCACGCAGTAGCCGGCGATGATGACACCGTTACGTTTATCCGTGCACCAACTCTCAAAGAGCTCGCGTGAAAGCCCGCTCTGCATCATCCCCGGGGAGGCCATCACAACGCTGGGCCCGATGTCATCAAAGTGATCCATGCTCTGTGTACGCGCACCATAAGACCACCGCACAAGGTTACACAGCTCGACACATATCCACGCAGCTCAAAACGAATCCAAGCAGCTCCACACAGCTCCATATGACAACACATTGCTCGACACTGCTCCACGTGACCCAATGACCCCACGCGACCACGTATCGCATCACGCAATCTCACGTGCACTCACACCTTGAGGTTGCTGATGTGCTTGAAGACGAACGGGTTGCTGATGCTGATCTGCTTGCGGATCTTATCGTTCATGGCGTGCACATACGTCTGGTACACGGCCATGCACTTCTTGGCAAGGGAGGAGGCATAGTAGATGGGGATGTCGTGCAGCTCCGGGTGGTTCCCCCAATATTCGTCTGCGTGCAGCAGCACAGCGCAGGGCAGGACACATTAGACAGTAGAAACAGCACAGCACATAACACCACACAGCACAGCAGAGGACACAGCACAGGAAAAATCCAAGAAAGATGCACAGCAAAGAGGATAGGACACATTTGCAGCTGTATAAATACAGCACCAATAGCTGTGAGTCCATTCACTAAATGTTCATCAACTCAAGCCCATGACCCATGTGCTATGAATGTCCACCCTTGACTGACTATGGCAGGAGGATCAATCAGTGTCACTGTGTGGTGGTAGCGGTGATGCAGGAGTGCTGTGTAGTGTTGGCAGTGCTGCCAGTGACACGGCGCCAGCGGCCATGACACTAGTGCTCCGTGCTCTCACCCAGGATGAGCAGCAACTCCTGCGCCCGTCCTAGCGCGAAGACGGGGATGAGGCAGCGCCCCCCACGATTCACGATGTCCTGCACTGTGTTACAGAAGCGCGCCTCGCGCTCCTCGCGCTTCTCATGGATGTGAGTCCCGTACGTTGACTCCTGAGTAACGATGCACACAACAACAACACGTGTTACTACCATCATCACTACAGCAACGACATGTGCCACTACCACCACCGTCACCACAAGGTGTTACCACCCAAGACAAAGTTCCCCCGTGTAGCCTTAGCAGACTTTTGGGGCAAGTGCTGTAAGTACCACCTATGAAGGCCGGCACGGCACACGAGTGGGTGGCCAGTACCACGCCCAGCCGCCTTTGTCTCCCTCGTGCGAATATTTACACACTGCACCAGGTATTCATTTGAGTCCGAGTCAACCTGAGGGAGGCCCAGGACAAGTTAAGATAGTCGTCACTGGTGTTGGCCGTGAGCGAGAACTAAACCCAGGTCGTTGGGTTCGTAGCACCGCGCACTAACCTCTCCACTATCGCTCCCCGTACCATCACCATAGTAATTATCACTGTGTCACAACCACCACAAGTGTAACCACAGCACATGACACCAACTACACAGCCGCACCATGCGACACCACAAAACTACACCCGTCTCGACCCCCATATATCACTATCACCACAGGCAGACAGCATCCCCACCATATATCACACACACACCACCTATCGCTCCCAGGCCACATGCTCACTCCTGCACCCGTTTTTGAGTTAAACTGAGGCACAGGTAGCGAGCGGTAAGTAATTCACAGTGTGGTGAGCGACAGCTGTAGTGGTGAGGGAGTAGTGAGTGTCACTCACGATGATGAGGATGTCGGGTTTGACACTGGGGATCTCGGCGGCCATGAGATGTCGGTCTTCCTGACGCGAGAAGTCACCTGTGTACAGCACCTACAACAACAACAACAACTCACCATCACATTAGCACAACAGCAATACATCAAAAAAAATTCAACAACATAATAAAACTCAACAATATAACATTAACACATCAATACCACAATATTAGAAATGCTCAATCACGGCAACAACACAGCAATACAAAAACCAACAACCCAACCACAACAACATCTTGGTCTGTGCCACAGCGAGTCTCACTGTGGAGCCGAGGCCCGCTTCGCAGCTGGGCTTGCCCGGCTGGCGGTGCGTGTGCGTTTGAGACGCCACACCCCTTGCTCACCTTCACTCCCGCGATCTCGATCATGAACATGGCGGCGCCCAACACGTGCCCCGCGTTGTAGCACCAGAACTTGACGCCGGCCACCTCCTTCACCTCATGGAAGTTGATGGTCTCGATCTTGTCCATGCTGTCCTCCAGGTCCTGCTCTGTGTACAGCATGTCGTCGGCCGAGATGTTACTGGGAGCGACAAAATGCACGCACGTCACTCATGTCATCATCATCATCACAAGCCATTATCTATCCACTACTGGATAAAGGCTTGCCCATGCTGTCGCCATCCCCCATGGTACAGTGTTGTTACCATGCATCTCACTCCTGCACATGAACTATAGTAATCTCATCTGTCAATCTCCACGGTGATCATCTTCTTAGACGTGTTCTTATTTTTGGTTCACATTTGGCTTCCAGAGATAACTTAAGTTAAGAGGTTGAACGGTTATGTAACGATGTGACTTGAGGTGACTTGAGGTGACTTGAGGTGACCGGGCTCTCAGAGATCAGAGCGCTGAGCCAGCACCCAAGAGAGCATGGGTTCGAATTCGAGTTTCAGTCACCCGTGATAAAGGGGGTTTGTCCAGTGCAGGCAAGTCTCAGTCCTGTCACCAATGACTGCACACTGTAAAGGAGACTGTTTGGATAAGGGTAGACTGCTGTGCTGGGTTATGGTTGGGGTAAGAGACCTCACTTATACAGGAGCCCTCTTTCTAAGCTGTGTCCATCTCGACTGGGCCAGCCAATGGGGGGACTGCACGGCCCGTCACTCACTCCGCGTCATTATCACAAACAACCAAGCACCTCACCTGACTTTGACGAAGTCGGACAGCAGCCAGCGGTAGATAGCCTTGGTGGCGTGGGTCATGAAAGTCCTGCCCTTAAAGCTGGTCTTCTGCAGGAACCACGGCAGGGCCCCACAGTGATCCAGGTGAAAGCTACGCTCACACACAGAGGTCGAGGGTTGGTGTGACAGCAGTGGCTAAAAGCGCCACTGGTGCCACAAGGCTCACTGGCTTGCCAGCGAGCCCATTTGCTCAAGCATGAGCCTGTCTGCTCATCCATGTGCATGTCTGCTCACCTGTATGCATGTCTGCAAACTTCTCTATCCAATTTATGTCAGCTCAATCCTTTTCCGGCCCCCTTCACCCATCTGCATCTGCCCATCTGCAATAGCCTTTTGACCATCTACCTGTCCATCTGTGTGTTTATGCGCTCGCCCATGCTCACTGGCTGATGAGCAGGAGGTCGATCTCGGCGGGGTCGATGATGTCAATGTAGGGCAGTGCGTCCATTCCGTCCAGTCCCGGGTGGATCCCACAGTCCAGCTGACACCACATGGAGGGGGCACACAGACACCGCACTCTCATAACATGCGCCCGAGCCAAACAGTTCACCGCCTGGCCTCCTGGCCAGATGCTTTCAACAGCAATGCGCTAGTTTGGCTGACATTTAAATGATTGTGTAGGAACTTTGCTGTGACCAAATCAGGTTTTATCTTGGATCGTGTTAGGATGGGTGACCGCCTTGTATAAAAGAGGTATGCTGCTGCAGTTAGCTTTATTGTGGGGCAGTGTGGTCCAATCCATTATTGTACTGTAAAATTCTCCCCGTATTCACCAACCCGCACCGACCAGCCTTATTAAGTGTGGTCAAATAATGCCCATGACCAACACAGCGTAGGAAGGTCCTCTTTCGGCAGTGCACTGACAAGACAGCTGCATGTGTACATGCTCTAGTAACACAATGCGTCTCAGCAGCAGCAGGCAAGGGGCCCGACTCGGCTCGGAGACATTTAAGGGCGACACCGATCCAGGGTTTGCTTTCTGAAACAAATGTCGAGAGAAAACGTTGGTCCGAAGGGCCGATGGACAGATGGGCATGAGTTTATAAAAGAGACACGCAGACGTTCGCGACTGCTGTTAAATTCTGATTAATGTTCTCGAAAGGCACGAACATCGATGGAGTGGAGATGCGCGCGAAGGACCCTGCGAGCCTCACCATGATTTTCCTTCCCTTGAACTCGAGGATGATACAGGACCTCCCGACCTCCTGCCCCGCGCCTCTGTAACGACAAGCGCAGCGTCAGCCCGCGAGCGGTGGCCTCCCGTCTCGCCGGGCGGCGGTGTCTGTGCCGCTTGCAATCCAGCGCTGCGGTGGCCAGGGTTGATGCATCGCACAAATGTGAACTCCATTCCCGTGGACGTCGAGGGGGTGCCAACCCCTGGCTCGACAGAAGGCAGTACAGCAAGTGGACTAGTCGCCCTCGGTTTCCATCCGTACAGCGACAGTTTCCACCTCGCGCGCGCGTGGGTTTTATCCAGGTGCTCCAGTTTCCTCCCACGTGTATAAGGCACACATTATTAGTTGGTTAAACACGCCTCGATACAACAAACACCCCGATGTAGCAGGGCCCTTCCTATCCTGGCTAAATAAGTCAAATCAAGATGAGCGCTCACGCCGAGACATGGGAGCTTCTCACCAGAGCTGCTGCCTGTAACTTGGGACCTCGTGAGTAAAACCAGGAGCCCCAGCCAGGAGCTGCTCCTGGCTGGGGCAGGAGGAGCACCAGCTGGGGCAGGAGGAGCACCAGCTGGCTGGGGCCGGGCACTCACAGGGGACGGATGAGCAGCTGGTCGCTCTCCTCCGCCGGCACGGCCGCGTCCGCCTTCTTGGTCGCCATGCCGTCGACTCCTTTCACTGCCGGGGCAAAGGTCGCCCTGGCTCACCACTTCCACCGTCAATCGATTGGACGCCATGTTGCGTAGGGCCCCGTGTCGCCTGTCGATGACGTCAACATCCGTTGCTCAATCCCCACCCAAGATGGCCAAACGGTGTCCATAGCAACTGCGTCCCGGTGTCTCAACTCGCCGCAATCTCCAACGCGCGTTGTTTACCAAGGAAAGCCTCAACGAGTCTCGCTCGGCTCTTTCAGGAGGTTGCTCAGTTTTCACTTGGAGGCGACGATGGCTATTGGCACACGATGGCCTCATCTCGCGTATTACGTGACAGGGTCGTTAACGTCGTTGAGGGGTGGGTCCGGCGCAGGCGAGGCGAGGCGAGCTGTAGGTAGACGAGATACGAGGTGAGTGGCGTGAGGTGTGGGTGAGTCACAGACGAGCTGTCGGTGAGGTGAGCCCACTGTGCTCGTCTCACCAGCTCCCTGGCTCGGGGCTACCCTCTTCCTATGGAGATGGGGGCGAGTGAAAGAACGAGCGAGTGGTGGAATGAACAAGGGCCACAGGCCCCATGCCTGTAAAGGAACCGAGAGAACGCGGTGGAGTAAAAACACGAATCCTTTATTGACGAGACGAGAACCGGCCGAGACACACACCTGGTCATTCCTAGCGGAGACTTTGGAATGGGATCATCGCGAGTGGAGGGAGGAGCGAGCGCGCTGCCTTCATCCGAGGGCAGTGATGGCGTTAACGCCATCACTGCCACGATCATAGAAAACCGGTCCGAGGTCAAACACAAATCTGCAGCAATGAGACCTCACAATGCTTCATTGCAGCCTCAATGAAACCTCAACAAAATGCCGACCCCCTGGGACCACGACCAGGGCCTCATTTTTCACCGAATATTTTCCAGGTCATCGGTAGACGAGAGAAGGCAGGCGACTGGGAGCCGCATCCTTCACGAGAGGGATCCTGGATGTGGCGAGAGACATTCCCTGGGTCGCCGGCCCGGAGAGACCCAGCGCAAATCAATCCATGGGCCATCGAGAGGTTCCTCGTCCCAGCTCCTAACCCAAACTTATTACCCCACCAGCCTGGTCTGGTTTTTAAACCTCACTTCATGGGAGCGTTTTCCACGGAAAAGGACTGCGGTGTTTGAGCGACATGAGGGGCAGCGACAAACGGAGTCTGCGGAGTGAAAACTCCATCCATTCAAACGCAAGGCAGGCAAAATACACTCAAATTACAATTTACTGGAGGAAATGTGATGTAGATACAAATGACCAATTACTTTAACGTGTGTAATTTAGATACCAATTACAAATGTAATTAAATTACATATTTACATTACATGTAATTTAGAAATGTTCCATCTCTGCCCGACAGGACGTAATGTACCGCATGGACACACTCGCGCCACACGAACACCACGCAGATACCAGACACCACTCAACCACACACGGACGCCTAACACACACCACAGCCTCCCTGTAAAAACTCGGGTGAGGGTTCGCCCCAGCACTGGGCCAGGCTGGAACCGCACAGCCAACAATGCCACGGACTTAAACACAGGCTTTCCTCGTGAGGCTCACGTTTGGCCTGAGGCATCTGTTCAATTATCATCAGAAACCCGAGTAATTAAACCTTGTGGTGAATACTTGGCACAGACACCGACTTGCCAGGAAGGCTCAACTGCTTATCAGGGTTACAGGGAGTGGGCATGGGGTCAGGGGGTACGAGATCACAGGCCAGAAGGCAACAAGAATTCGATGCCAGCCCAGGTAAACGATCACAGGGAGACAGAACGGACAGCTTACACTGCTTGGCGTAGATAAAGTGGCGATGACAGCGTAGGGTTTATGAGATACATTACAAACCGTTAGCCCGCATCTCACAGTCTGCATCCACGGCGACACACTGGGGACGCGCGGGGAGACAAGGGGCAAAGGGGTGTTGGGTGACCCCGACGCATCAACCGCCAAGGCTCTCCTGAGCAAGGTGCCTGGATGCTGCACTAACCCTGTGATGGCTCCCACCGACATCGTGACTCCTCGGCATCAGCAATCAGCTAACGCTTCCACAACGCACGGACGCAGCCATTTAAAAACTTTGCGCGCGCAGCCTCAATGCAGAATGGATGCCTCACGATGGCCAACGGTTTGCCTGGACCCTTGTGTGTGTGTGTGCACGACTGTCAATTCGACCTCTGCTCCCTCCTGCCTCCTCCCCCCTCGTGGCTGAGCACCTGCACAAACCGCACGCTCCCATCATGCCTCTGTACGGGCCCTCTTCTCTTTTTGTCGCACCTCCCCATCGCTTACTCTCTCCCCTTCCTCCTCCCCATCCACGGATGACTCCAGCTTGTGCTTGTTGCTCTCCTGGAGGGGGCTGGCAGGAGTAGCAGCACTAGCAGCAGGGCAGCCAGGCCGCAGGGTGAACGTCACGATGAGGCATGTCATGTTGTCACAGCCGGTGCCGTCGCCAGTGTTGTCTGGAGCCAGGCACTGGTCCAGCAGCTTATGGAGCATGGCGCAGACAGATACACACACAAACGCATGGGTGAGCGAAAAATGGCAAGCTTGCTAGAGTGTGCCTTGTTGAGTGTAAGGGGAATGTGTGTATTTAAACAATTATGTGTTTGTGCACGCGCGTGTAGAGGCAGGGTACACACACCTCGTCCGTGATGGCCGATAGAGTCAGCAGGTTCCCTTGAGCATCGCGCCGGTGCAGGCGCTCGGACACAAAATCAACGACTTCCTGACTGCTCAGCACATTCCTGGCAGCATCCACATCAACAAAAAACATCAACAACAAGCACTAACATCAAACGACACAAATATCATACATTAACATACAGTAACATCAATACATACCACCACCAGTGCACACTACCATCAATACGACTAGCACACACGCAGCAATACACAGCATCAGAATATGTATTACTGGAGGAATCCGATGAGCTATTAAGCTCTTTTTCACAAATGTCCAGTCGGGGCGGGTCAGAAAGTTACAAACCCCACACACCTCCTGTCGTTGTTTTTGGCACGATGGATTTTCATGGTATGCTACTGCTGCTGCGTAATTGTACACGAATGCGCACACATGCAGACGTGCACACACACACGGCAAAGATCCCCCCGTATAGCCTTAACAGACTTTTGTAGTAAGTGCTGTTTGCGAGCACCTATGTAGGCCACCACAACACAGTTGGGAATGGGTGGCCAGGACTTTGTGGTACTTATTTGAGGCCAAGTCGACCTAGCCCAGTACCGGTTTAGATAATCGTCACTGGTGTTGGCCATGAATGGGAATCGAACTCAGGTACATAGCGCATTGCTCTAACCACTACACCCACACGCGCGCATGCCAGTGCCGTTTACCAGATGCCATCGCAGGCGATGACCATAAACTCGTGCTCCTCCGTCAGCGTGAGGCTCCGTACGTCTGGCAGTGCCGAGATCATCTGCTTCTCTGGGGGAAGCAGGGCGTTCTGCTTGTAGAAGTGGTCCCCTACACCAACACAGCGACACATTCAAACAGATCCCCTGTGGATCCTCAGACTGCTGGGGCGAGTGCTTTTAGTGAGTACCTATCAATACCACAATTGCCAAGAAGTTATGGTGAGGCACACCATATGACACACTATGACATACGTTGCAGAAAATTTTAAGAACTTACCAAAAAAGGCATTTTTTGTCTGTGTGTGGCCGAAACTTGCGAAGGATTTGGCTCGCGAACCGTGGGGTACACGGTTTTACAAAGTACCCAGGTAGCACGCCATAAGCCCCGTGCGGAGCCAGCGCTATTCCGATTTCGCATCCGTCACATTTAAAGTAGTTTAATTAGCGATTTAGTGCTGTTTTGGGTTATTCATTTCTTGCATAGCACGTGCTCGACCCTACCAACTCGCAGGCACACGCGTTCCGTGGGGGTGAGAGGGGAATTCTCTTTCATGTGGATACTGCACAAGGTAACACACACAGACTTACAGCTCCCTTCAAACAATTATTACCATGACTGTTGACTCATTATAAATTGCCTTTTATAGGCAAGATTTCATGACAGGGATGAAGCAATGTTTATGAATAATAGCCTTTTTACACGCTTTCTTTTAACTCACTGTTGTCGTTGTTGTATCCTCAAATCTTGTAACTCAATTTTAACCCACTTCCCAATGTGGTATCGACTGCAAACTTGGTATACTTATGTCATATTGATGACAATACTATATTCTATCATAAAAAAAATTTACATTCTTTTTTATGTTATGCTTCGGCTTGGGTCTAATTGTCCACGGTCAACTGACGTTGGCTGTAATTGGCCACGGTGCCTTACGTTATGCAAAGCTTCGGGGCCACTTCCTGGAGTCATGGAGTTCTGCCATTACTAGTACATTTCATAAAAGCGTGTTTTTTAAAAAAGTTTTTTAAAATATTACTTATTCTGTACTCGAGGCATAAGCAATATCACTTACTGCACAGGGGCAAACCAATATTCTCAATTACGTCTTCATTCCATATTTACACTTGGCCCCTCAGTACGGGGTTGAGCAGTGACGTTATGTTAACTACGCTTGATTGGTGCGCACCTGCTCATAGTTACAGGTGGGTGAGGTTCATTTTGTATTCGTCGACTTTCATTAATTTGCCGCTCTTGCTCCTGGCAAATGTTTACACATAAATGGCAGAACACCCTCGCAGTCGCTCCTAATTACTTACTTATTATTTTTTCCCCTCTCCCTTGCTTTTTTCGCTAAAGTCACGCACATAGAAAACTATTATTTACAAACTTATTTAGTCTATATAAAAGTTAGAGTGTGCGTGCGAGTCCATATGTGTGTGCGTTGTGTCTGTGTGAGTCCGTGTGTGTGTGTGACAGTCGCTGTGTTTGTTTGTGTATGTCCGTGTGTATGTGTGTGCGGTGTGTTTAAGTGTGTCAGTCGATGTGTGTGTAAGTCCATGTGTGTGCGTAGTTCCATGTGCGTTTGAGTATGTATGTGTGTTAAAGTCGATGTGTTTGTGTGTGTTAGTCGGTGTGTGTGTGCCCATGTGTCAGTCAATGTGTGCGTTTGTAAGTCGACATGTGTTTGTGTAAGTCGATGTGTTTGTGTGTGGGTCGATGTGTGTCAGTTGATGTGTGTGTGTGTTGGTCTATGTGTGCGTGTGTGGCACTATGTGCGTGTGTAAGTCGATGTGTTTTTGTCCATGTGTGAGCGAGTCGATATATGTGTGTGCGTCGATGTATGTGTGTGTGAAAGTCCATGTATGTGTGTGAGTCCATGTGTGTGAGTCCATGTATGTGAGTCCATGTGTGTGTGTCTAAGTCCATGTGTGTGTCTAAGTCTATGTGTGCGTGGGTCGATGTGAGTGTGTAAGTCCATTAGTGTGTGTGCAAGTCGATGTGTGCAAGTCGATGTGTGTGTGTGGGGTGCGGTGGTGGAGCGGTTAGCGCGCTGCGTTACGAACTCGGCGACCCGAATTCGATTCCCGCTCACGGCCAACACCCAGTGACAATTATCTGACCCAGTCCTGGTCCTCCCCTAGGTAGACTCAGCCTCAAATGAGTACCTGGTGCGATGTGTAAACATTGCCATTGAGAGTCGCTGTGTGTGTGTGTGCGCATGCAAGTCGATGTGTATGTGTGTGGGTCGATGTATATGTAAGTGGATGCATTTACGTGTGTGGGTCCATGTCTGTGTGTGTAAGTTGACGTGTGTGTGTCTTTTTCGCCCAGGCAATGCTGGGTACTTCCCGCGAGTCCCCTATATAGCCTTAACAGACTGTTGGGGTAAGTGCTGTTACCGAGCACCTATGAAGGCCAGCACGATGCACGAGGGGATGGGTGGCGAGCACCACGCCCGGCCGCCTTTGCCTCCCCAGTGCCGATAATTTTACACACCGCAGGTACTCATTTGATGCGGAGTCGACCTAGAGAAGACCCAGGACCGGTTCAGATAATTGTCACTGGTGTTGGCCGTGGTTGCCGGGTTCGTAGCGCAGCACTCGAACCATTACACGACCACTCCCCACCGAGTGCAGCACACACACAAGCACAAGCACACCGTAACAGTTGGCTCAGTGGTAGAGCAGCTCACAATTGGAAGACTGCGAGTTCAAACCCTATTTGGGAGGTGACTCAGCCTATCACATTGCGAGATTTTAAAAAATCTATCATTTTCTGGGAAAGTCAAAAGTGGTTGTTCTATGGAGATACCCCTGCCATAAGAATGTGGAATTTTCACCGCTGGCTGAAGACTGTAAACAGATGAGCACCGCCTTAATGCTCAAATGAGCAGGAAATAACTTTGACCTTGCGTAACACAAACACCACAACTCGCACACAGCAACATGCACATAAGGTACCATACCACACATTGAATCACATAAGGGGGCTTCGTTTTTTGGGGGCCCATACCGATGGCACGAGAGAGGTTGAGCCCCCCATTGACTCGCCCATCCATCGTCACTTTGCCCCCCGCCGCACAGATTCTCTCCAGCTCGGCCTGGTCCTCAGGTTTGTGGTCGCACGACATCTCCACCGCCTTGCCGCCGGCGCCGCTCACCACGCAGCGCGAGTCTCCTGCGTTCGCCACCACGAGTTGCGACCCACGCAACAGCGCCACCACTGCCGTGGTGCCGCTGTCGCAGCCAGGCTTGGAGAAAGCAAAACATAGAAACGTCGTGACACAAACGGTGATAAAAAGGCACGGCACCGTCGTGACGGTGCCATTACAGCCAAGCTGGGAGACAGCATAGAACAGGACAGGTTTCCCTCTCTTTAAGCGGGTTAGGTTTCCGTGATTTCACGTAAATGCAATTAACCTACTTCTACCCTAAATTCGTTACATGTGGTTTGAAGTCACTCAGATGTGGCTATACAGTCGGATGTAGGACATTGTTGTTGTACTGTATGCACTAAGCAGTCAGCTGTCCGGTGTGGGGCATTATGGGTCGGGTGACGGAGTTCGTTTTATGCTATTTGGGTTCATGCGCCTCTTTTTGGAATGCATCTCCCGCATAAAACCCACAGTGCCATCATCGCCACAGTGCCGCTATCACAGCCAGGCTGCGAGATATGTGCAGTGACACAAACACTCAACCGTCACTGTCGTGCCACTATACAATATGTTGCAGTCCACGATAAACAAGAACAAGGACATTGTTGCTGCCAATATTGTTTCAGTAAAATTGCTCCAATCAACTTGAGCTTAGGACCCAAGGCTCATTGTGAGAGGAGCTTCCCAGGCCACCTTGGGCTGGACATCATCCCGAGGCCATAAGAGCCCCTGGGTATCCTTGATTGGAAATCTCCTCAGTCCCCTTGAGCCCTTGTCACCTCCTCCCTGATTTCCATTCCTGGGATCCCAACGTCCTCATCATCAGGATCCTCTTCATCCTCGCTCTCCTCCTCGCTCTCCTCCTCCTCGCTCTCCTCCTCTTCCTCGCTGCAGCTCTCATCCTCACTGTCCTCATCCTGTGACACACGTACAGACACAGACGCTCACTCTCACGTATAGACATGGCCACACGCCCTCGTCGTTGGCTCCCCATCACTCCCCTCGTCTCACCTCGTCGCTGCTCGCTTTGTCTGCGTCCGAGTCGTCGTCGCTGTCCTCAAAGAACACCGGCTTGGTGGCGGAGCGGGCGCTCCGAGCGGCCGCGCCGGCACCCTTCTTGGTCGCTGCCGACGATGATGGCGCAGCCGGCGGTGCTGCCGATGTGCCCGATTGGTCGTCCGTTGACGCGGCGGTGCTTCCCCCACCGCCACTGCTTTCCGAACGGCCGGCACTACTCCCCGGGGATGCGTCTGCTGCGCCTGCCGGTTCTGGTGCCGATTTTTCCGGGACACCGTTGCCGCCGGCGGCGGCACCGTGGGGTTTCCCGTCGGACGGCGCTTCCTTCCCGGCCTCCCCGGGGCAGCTGCTGCCCTCCCCGTTGAGACCGTCGTGCTCTGGCTTGGGAGGGATGCCCTTGCGTGCCCGGGCGGCGCTGCCACCCTGGCCGTAGCGCCGCAGCAGCTCCTCCATCGTCATCGTGGCCTCTTCATGGAGGAGGGCAGCCTCCTCGTTATCAACTGGGGAAGGGCCAGAGTGAGACACGGACGCGTACGGGCACTTACACACGCAATTCCGTACTCTCCACATATATACGACCACGTATCATACGCACTCCACTCATATACGTAATCTCGATACTTCACCACTCATCTACACCATGCAAGCAGGAATTACACAGTACACTTCACTTTAATATATTATATGCAATAAACCTCCAATTAGCATGATTGGTTATGTGCGGTGTGCAAGAAGTTCAACATACATACACACCCACTTCAGTATAATACACGCTTCATACGGGTGCTCACACATGCAGTACTCACTCTTCACTTACATTTTTCCTTCACACGGGTGCTCACACATACAGCACTACTCGTATACAAACAAAAACCGAACACATTCGTCAATAAAACTGTAGTCTTTAAAGGAAAAATAGGTGACATGTCAAGCAATGTCCCTTTATAACACGTAATTACCACCATCCTCACATCACCACAATGCACCTCACCCTCACACCCTTCTTACCATCGTCCTCGTCGGCCATTTCAGTGCCACCCTTCCCCGTGTCGTGCACGGCCATGGCCTTGAGCTCTCGGATGACGGCAGCGTCTGTGAGACGCGCGTCCAGCGCCAGGAACGCGTCCTTCAGCGCCTGCAGACAGCGACATTCTCAGTTACACGGCGGTGACCCCGAGTTCCTGTGTCCCCTTCCCCTCATGTTCTCTTGCTCCCGTGTCCCCGTGTCCCCGTATCTCCGTGTCCCCGTGTCTCCGTGTCCCCGTGTCTCCGTGTCCCCGTGTCCTCTTCCCGTTCGGTTCTCTTGCTCCTGTGTCTCCGTGTTGCCACGTCTCTGTGTCGTACCCCACGTCTCTGTGTCTCCGGTTCCTCATGTCCCATGCCTTGTGTTTTTTCACTTCTCCATTTCACTGTCACCATGTGTTCATATTCCTGTGTCCCTGTACCCCATATCCCATGCTCCCAACCCCCCTTGTCTCGTGTGAGTGTTTCTCACCTTGTGCAGCTTGCCGTCCCTGTACGCCGCTTGCTCCTTGATGACATCCGGTAGGTACTTGGCACAATACTGTGCCACCTCGGCACCTGCGCAAGACGCAATCACACACCAGGAGGTGCTGCTGAGGCCCTGCGTCTCGCGTCACCGTCAGAACCCCCCCCCCACCACCACCGCTCGTGCCTCCAATCCTTACCTCCGTGGCCGTCGTAGACAGCAAAGAGCGCCGTCTCAGAGTCCAGGTCCGGCAGGCAGCTGTGCGCGTCCTGTGAGGCGCGCATCCCGGGCACAGCACACGGACACCACCAACCAACAATATAACAACAACACACACCCCGTCCATACTCACCACCACCACCATCGACACAGGCTAATACCATGGCTACTCCAACACACCCCACAACACGGCACATCAACACACCCCATTAACGTACACCGCTAAAATACACATCGAAACCATTGACACGTTTCTCGATACATTAATTAATTGTAATATATAGAGGAAAGCATCGTGTGGTCGGATCCTCCTGAAACAACCACTCGCGACTCGGCGAGGCTTTCCTGGGTAAACAATCTGAAGAATAGTAAACATAAAAGACACGAACCACCACCTAAACTCGCACACTAACGCGCTAACATGACATTAATTACAGCACACGCCGTCAACACATCATTAGCATACCATACCAACATAACGCATCACAATGTTCACAACTGATACCATCAACACACACGGAGCAGCAATGACACACCAACAATAACCACGAAACATCGCGGCAAACCCCCTGTGAAGGTGCCATACGCACACACAGCACGAGCACCCCCCCCCCCTCATTACCACACCACGAGCACAGCGCACCCAGAGAGGACCCAGAGAGGACCCCGCCAGAGGGGACCCCGCGAGACCCCCTGGCTGATCTCGCAGACTTAGACCGCCAGGGCTCCCCACGACCCCCAGGGCTCCCCACGTCCCCCAGGGCTCCCCACGTCCCCCAGGGCTCCCCACGTCCCCCAGGGCCCCCCACGTCCCCCCACGTCCCCCAGGGCTCCCCACGACCCCCAGGGCTCCCCACGTCCCCCCACATCCCCCAGGGCCCCCCACGTCCCCCCACGTCCCCCAGGGCTCCCCACGACCCCCAGGGCTCCCCACGTCCCCCAGGGCTCCCCACGTCCCCCAGGGCCCCCCACGTCCCCCCACGTCCCCCAGGGCTCCCCACGTCCCCCAGGGCCCCCCACGTCCCCCCACGTCCCCCAGGGCTCCCCACGACCCCCAGGGCTCCCCACGTCCCCCAGGGCTCCCCACGTCCCCCAGGGCTCCCCACGACCCCCAGGGCTCCCCACGTCCCCCAGGGCTCCCCACGTCCCCCAGGGCCCCCCACGTCCCCCAGGGCTCCCCACGACCCCCAGGGCTCCCCACGATCCCCAGGGCTCCCCACGTCCCCCAGGGCTCCCCACGTCCCCCAGGGCTCCCCACGACCCCCAGGGCCCCCCACGACCCCCAGGGCTCCCCAGGCCCCCCCACGACCCCCAGGGCCCCCCACGACCCCCAGGGCTCCCCACGCCCCCCACGGCTCCCCACGTCCCCCAGGGCTCCCCACGTCCCCCAGGGCTCCCCACGACCCCCAGGGCTCCCCACGACCCCCAGGGCCCCCCACGTCCCCCACGGCTCCCCACGTCCCCCAGGGCTCCCCACGACCCCCAGGGCTCCCCACGACCCCCAGGGCTCCCCACGTCCCCCAGGGCTCCCCACGACCCCCAGGGCCCCCCACGTCCCCCACGGCTCCCCACGACCCCCAGGGCCCCCCACGTCCCCCACGGCTCCCCACGTCCACCAGGGCTCCCCACGACCCCCAGGGCTCCCCACGACCCCCAGGGCTCCCCACGACCCCCAGGGCTCCCCACGTCCCCCCAGGGCCCCCCACGTTCCCCAGGGCTCCCCACGCCCCCCAGGGCCCCCCACGTCCCCCAGGGCTCCCCACGTCCCCCAGGGCTCCCCACGTCCCCCAGGGCTCCCCACGCCCCCCAGGGCCCCCCACGTCCCCCAGGGCTCCCCACGCCCCCCAGGGCCCCCCACGTCCCCCAGGGCTCGTCACGTCCTCCAGGGCTCCCCACGTCCCCCAGGGCCCCCCACGTCCCCCAGGGCCCCCCACGTTCCCCAGGGCTCGTCACGTCCTCCAGGGCTCCCCACGTCCCCCAGGGCCCCCCACGTCCCCCAGGGCCCCCCACGTTCCCCAGGGCTCCCCACGCCCCCCAGGGCCCCCCACGTCCCCCAGGGCTCGTCACGTCCTCCAGGGCTCCCCACGTCCCCCAGGGCCCCCCACGTCCCCCAGGGCCCCCCACGTTCCCCAGGGCTCCCCACGCCCCCCAGGGCCCCCCACGTCCCCCAGGGCTCGTCACGTCCTCCAGGGTCCCACTTACCTCCATGGCGACGCGCCATCCCTGCATGGCCGAGACGCCGAAGGAGAGGCGGCCCGAGCTGCGCTCCCACGACTCCTTCTCCACGTTGGGCTGCGTCAGGTAGGCGCCCATGGCGGCGGCACGGAGACCGAGGGGGCCTTGGGGGGTCCGGAGCGGGGCTCCCTGGTCGCGGTGCACGTGGCCGCTCCTCGGTACGGGGCCACAAAGCCGAGGCGGCGGCGGCGGCGGAGGAGGAGGCGGCGGCGGTGGGATCAGGACGTGACGTCACTTCTTCTAAAGGACGTCACGCGGTGTCTGAATTCGTTTTCATGACGTCATGACACGTGAGGAATCAGTATCGCGACGTCACGCTGTGGCAATAGCCGGTGGTGACGTCAAATGTGTCATGCGTAATGACGTAGCCGTCCCCAAAGGTGTTGGGGGGAGCGGGTGGACGACACGTCAAGAGGTCCTCCACTAGGGGGCGACTCCACTAGGGGCGCCTCCACTAGGGGGCGCCTCCACTAGGGGCGCCTGCACTAGGGGCGCCTCCACTAGGGGCGCCTCCACTAGGGGCGCCTGCACTAGGGGGCGCCTCCACTAGGGGGCGCCTCCACTAGGGGCGCCTGCACTAGGGGGCGCCTCCACTAGAGGGCTCCTCCACTAGGGGCGCCTGCACTAGGGGGCGCCTCCACTAGGGGCGCCTGCACTAGGGGGCGCCTCCACGAGGGGCGCCTGCACTAGGGGGCGCCTCCACGCCTCCACTAGGGGCGCCTGCACTAGGGGGCGCCTCCACGAGGGGCGCCTGCACTAGGGGGCGCCTCCACGAGGGGCGCCTGCACTAAGGGGCGCCTCCACGCCTCCACTAGGGGGCGCCTGCACGCACTTTTTTCTCCGAATTTGGCAAATTTAAACCCTGACGCCGACACACAATGGCCTATACCCTTGCGAGTTAGTCGTACATACTGTAGCTAACATGGCTGAAGACACTGTGTAACAATGTTTTTTGTCCCTGGGTAGTAAGTGTTATTTGCTAATTGCTTCTGCCTCAAAAGTACAGAAAACGATGACTCCCCACAAACTTTTCCTTTGTGACCAGAACAGTGATATTTATAAATTTACCTATTTTCCAAAACATTCTAGATAGTTTTAGTGCTGAGAAAACTCGGAGTAACTTCTAGAACATTCTAGAACTTTCCAGTAATATAAATAGTAGTATAAATACAGGGGCCTTAAGCCAATTTATCAAGACAAGAGCGAAAAGTATTCTGTGGAAGCATCTGCTGAGATGTGTGAGGCCTACAAGGAATATTTCGGCATGCCTGTCGGGGATCAAGACAAACCCTGGGCACCTCATTTCACCTGCGAACAATGCAAACAAACTTTGGAGGTGAGATGTACAATTGTTGCTCGGAATTTAATGTTATAAAATTTGTTACATTTTTTTAAATTCTTAAAGTTTTTAATTTTAAAATGTTTTACAATTTCCAATGTTATTGAAAAAATATATCATCTCTGAAAAATGTTACGAGAATTTTTTACACATTAGTCATGGGTGAAATAAATGTATGGTACAGAGGGGAAAAGAGAGCCATGAAGTTCGCTATCCCAAGAATTTGTCGGGAACCCACTGACCACTCAAGCAACTGCTACTTCTGCATGGTGGACCCTTCCAAACGTCGGACTGGCAAAAATGCACCTGCTATCACGTATCCGGACCTTCCTTCATCCATCGCCTCAGTGCCACACTGTCATGAGCTCCCCGTACCTACTCCTCTGGACAGAGAGAGCAGCCGTCTGTAGATCCAGATGACAATTTCAGAGGTGGAGCTGAGGAGAGAAACCCGTCCTATCCCAACCAAAAATACATCAACGACTTGATCGGAGGTCTTGGTCTCCCCAAGTCCAATGCCGAGCTTTTGACGTCTAGGCTCAAGCAGTGGAACTTGTTGGATTAGAGATCAGAGGAAGCGTCACCAACCGTTTTGCAGCTTCTTCACCCGTCAAGATGGGCTCTGCTTCTGCCACATGTGACCAGTCTGTTCGAGGCAATCGGAATCGCCTGTATCCAGAATGAGTGGCACCTCTTCATTGACAGCTCATCCATGAGCCTCAAAGCCGTGCTGCTCCATAATGGTAACAAGTACCCGTCTCTTCCCCTGGCTCACTCGGTGCACTTCAAAGAGGATTACAACAGCATCAGGACCTTGCTGGATGCCTTGAATTATGATGAATACGGCTGGGAGGTCATCAGAGGCTTAAAAATGATGACATTCCTGATGGGTCTACAAGGCGGTTTTACCCAGTTTCCCTGCTATCTTTGCCTTTGGGACAGCAGTGACACCAAGGCACACTACCACATGCGGGACTGGCCACAGCGGACCGAGTTCTCTGTGTGGGGGAACAACGTCAAGTGGGAGCCACTTGGTGGGCCACCGGAAGGTGCTGATGCCACCAGTGCACATCAAATTGGGCCTTATGAAACAATTTGTCAGAGCTGTAGATAAGGAGTCGGAAGCCTTCGAGTGCCTTCAAGACTTCTTACCGAAGCTGTCTGAGGCAAAGGTCAAAGCTGGTGTCGTCGTCGGACCACAGATAAAGAAGATCCTGGAGTGCAATGAATTCCCTAAGAAGCTCACTAGTAAGGAAGAACATGGCTTGGAACAGCTTTGTCGCAGTGGTTTGTGGCTTCCTGGGCAATCACAAGGTCGAAAACTATGTGGAGCTGTATTCTTGTTTCTTTCGGTAAAGTCACGTAGAAGAAAATTTTCTTGCTGTGGATTTCACACCTGATGATGATTGCTTGTGTTGCAGTCGAAACGTCGTATTTCCCTTCTACGTTACTATACCGAAAGAACCAAGAATATGAATCCCTGCAGTCACGAAAGCTTTAAATCAAAATTTATGTGGAGCTGGTTGAAACTCTGGTGAAGAACTACGGCACAATGGGCTGTAGGATGTCCGTCAAAGTCCATGTCCTTGATGCTCATCTTGATAAATTCAAGGAGAACATGGGAGCGGACTCGGAGGAGCAAGGCGAGCGCTTCCACTAGGATATACTGGACTGTGAACGCCGCTACCAAGGACAGTACAACGAGAACATGATGGGAGACTACATTTGGGGACTGAATCATGAAAGTGATTTTCAGATTGATCGTAAATCTCGAAAAATTACTCACTTCAAAATCTTTTGTAGTAATTTTTTGATTACTTTAGCATAAATACATGTTAATTTGGATCCATATGTTTTTTTTCTGACTTTATGTGAACGAAAAGAGACACATTCGCCCGTTTTCTCATTGAAAAAGGGTCAATTTCTAAATATCACTGTCCTGGTAACAAAAGCAAAGTTTGTGGGGAATAATAGGCCATTTTCTATACTTTTTAGGCATAAGCAATTACGAAATAACACTTGCTACCCAGGAACAAAAATTGTATGACATAATGATATCAGAGACCCAGATCGAGAAGTCATCGTGTGCGGCTAAAGTCGTTGATACAATCGAACCTCCTTGCCAGCGTGTACGAGCCTTACAGCAGCAGCAGCTGCTGCTGCTGCTACAGGGTAGAACACGCGGCGACTTCCGAGATCTGCCCTCACGGTCTCCCACCACCCGCTGAGGTCCTGGCCCTTGGTCCTTGGGCACGTGGAGACCGCTTCAATGCCCGTCTCGGCAACGGGCCCTCACCCATCCTGCACGGGTCCCACCCAGCGTGGCCGTTTGTCGCATCTCCAACTCACCGGCCGTGTCTTCTTGCGGGCTTCTGCATGGATTCTGGCACCCGTCTCAAGACACCTGTATTCCTCAAATGCCCTTTGTTCTATTTACACTCAAACTCATCTATCCTCTCTTACAAAGTGGTTTCCGTAGGCGACGCGGATTCCTCCACTTGTGACGCGCGACCGCACCTGTGCACGTGCAGGCATCGGAACAGATGCGACCACGCGGGTGAAAGTTCATCCGAGTTTATTTTCCTCCATAGCCAGGCCACAGAGTCCGCTCATGGCACAAGGACGGACAGCGGGGACACGGGGACGCAATTAAAACGAAGATAACGATAAGAGACGCCCGGAGCAATCCGGGAAAACCCGCGGCAGGGAGAGAAGGGGAAGGGCAGCTCAAAGGCAAGGGCAGCTCAAAGGCAAGGGCAGCTTGTATGTAGGGAAGGGCAGTGCATTCCGGGGAAGGGCAGCTCGTACCAGGGAAAGGCAGCTGATAGCACATAAGGGCAATCCCTTACAGGGAACGGACACTGATGTTATGGAAGGACATTTCGTACGAGATAAGGGCAGCTGAAAATGGCAGCTCACACGAGGCAGGGAAACCACGGTATAGTTGTGCAAAACTCTGAATGATTGAGCCCCACATTCTCGTGTTACCCATCGTCGTGACGCGGTCATTGCAGCGATCGCGATGATATTGCAGCGTGCGGGATGAGAGGGACACTCACGTCTTGACAGGATGGAGGTCCCCAGCAGCATCCTGCCAACCTCACCAGATATTCACCACTCTCACCCGATTCTCCGTATTCGTACCACTCGCCAGCATCTCACCGGATTCTCACCACACTCACGCGACCTCTCCTCCTAGCGCGTAGGGACTGCACTCGGCGTCGTGTCAACGCCAAGCGAATTCGTGACTCGGGTATCACGGCAGCGTCACAGTCGTGCGACTGACGTCAACGCGAACTTGGCACCAACTGCGGGGCGAATGATTCACTGGGCAGAGAGGCAGTTTCCTGCTCGCGTTGAGCTTTGACGTGGGACTCAAGGTTCGTGTCTATGGCGGGGGCGAGGCTATCCAGCGGACAACCACTGTTGACTTTCTCACTGTGTGGTGCTCATTTCACGGACCTCGTGGGTGCGAGACGCTCGCTCGACCGCTGCGCCACGGGGCCGGGATACGCGACGACTCGGCGTGTACCGATGTTACCACTAGATGGCAGACACATCACGCGTTTCAATCTGTTGGCACGGCACCTTTGCAAGATTGCACATACAGTACTAGCAGCAAGTTGTTGCTGTTGTTTATGTTTCGTCGTGAGCGTGTGGACAAGTGGAACGGAACAAAGAATAAAGCCACAATACAGTGACGACTGCGAGTTGTGCAGTTTGTGAATGGGTGGATCAGATGCAATCGGAACATGTGCCAAGATGACAGATGTGCGAGTCCTGGTTGAGACAAACTCCGGGCCACACGACTCGTGTTGAGCCCTGAGTATAGACAACAGGCGGGTAACAATGTACGCACGATGATGGCCACGTTGGGTAGGCTGTTAACTCCTGCCTCGCCCTCCAGACTCCTGTGTGGAGGCAGTGAATGTAGCCTCGTCCCGCATCACCACCGCCAATGAAACCCGGATCAATCCTGATCCAGGAGGCGAGTGCTTGAACACCGAATGGAAACTCCCGGGTTCTCCTGCAGGGCTTCAAACCAAGTCCCCTGCTGGAAACTTTAGAAAATAAAAAAATATGGACATGCAAGGCGCGACAGAATTTGGTTTCCAGGAAAGTCAACAAGGTGCAGTCAGCATCGTGATCTGTCCGAGCACCACAGGCTGACATTTGTCAGAAACCCCACGAGACTGTCGAGGAGGGCAGCGGCGTTCAGCACGGGAAGATCTCGGCCGTCCGGCACACAGCATGGAGGCAGCCCCTTCGCACTGCCATCTGTGGGGACCTCCGAGACAGGCGGAGGAGCGTGGACAGCGGTTCGACAACTGCTCACTCCCAAGAAAGGCAACGTCGTCCATCGCTATGTTCAAACTCGTCCGCCTGCGAATGTCTAAGCTGCCATGCAGCGGATTGCTTGCATGCCTCTGTCGTATCTTTGACAGTGAAGGGGCGGGAAGGGAGCGATGCAGTCTTGACTTGGGCACCAACCACGCGGCTTCAATGCATGAGGAATTTCGTGGCTGCTGGGACGAGTGCGTGTCACTAAACGCTGTGTGAATGCTCGTGTTTCTTAGTGGAAGGCCCTCACATCGATTGGCAGGTGCGTGTCGGTGTCGTTCACGGCACAGTCAGTGTGACCGGTTTCATGGCCTGTATTGAAGGTGCGAGTGGCACAGGGCGATGCGTGTAGCGAACACGTGTAGTGAGTTACACGTGTAGTGAGTTACATGTGCAGTGAGGGATGTGTGTAGTGAGTGATGTGTGTAGTGAGTGAGGGACATGTGGCCAGTGGTGGGTGGTAGAGTGGCTCGAATCATCACGCTTCACACAATATTTAATGCAGCTTGGCTCAGCCTATCATCATTGTTTTGGGGCCACTCAAATGAGCACAACGTTGTACACATCATGGAATCCTATAGACCGGGCTTCTCCACAGCAACGCGGAAATTCCTCCGGTGGTTCTGTATAACGGACGTGAGCGTGGAGCCAATGAGAGCGACCCAGCTGGCGAGAGTGACTTGAGAACCGATGGAGTCCATTGGACTCTCACCCTACGGCTGCCCCTCGTGCGGACTCAAACATTGAGCGTTAATTAGTGGCATGCGACTGCGTGTCTCCATGTGTCATCGTGCGTGTCTGTGTGTCGTGGCTGACACACAATGCGCTACATTTTTGCCCATCGTGCACCACAAACCTTGCCCGACCTCTCTGTGGTCCGGCACGAGTTGTGTAAACGTCGGCACTGGGGAGGCCTTGGTGGCCGAGCGTGCATCGTGCCGACCCCACCACATCGCGCCTTAGTTGGCGCTCGCCGGCCGTGCTCCGTAAGGCCGGCGGGTGTCTGTGAGCGTAGCCACGAGTCTCTCTCGGCCGAGATCACCGTCGCGAGGCGTCCGCTCTGGAGACTCGGGGAGAGGGGGGGGGGGGGCTTCAGTGCAAAGTTGGGCCCCGGGTGCTGGGGCTCGGAGGTTAAGGCAGGGCCCCCACGGCTCCCTGGCGCACCTCTTGGAGGCGCGCCGCACGCCTCGTCTGTGGCGAATGCGGCCGTAAACAGTGGAACGCGTACAATTTGCGTAAATAAAAAATATACAAATATATATAGAGAGAAAGAGAGAGAGAAAGAGAGAGCACTTTCGTGTTAAACATACTCGGACACAAACAGTGCAGGCAAAGGTGGTGGCTGTGCAGCCTGAGAGGGAGGAGGGGGGCAGAGAGGGAGGCACAGAGATGAAGGAGAGGAGGGAGGCAGGATCCATCGGCATCCCTCACAGCGAGACGCCTCCACCATTTCGTGTGAACGGCTCCTGCTGCTGCCACTTCGTCGCGCTCTGCAGGTGTCACGGGGGGCTTGTGGTGACGGGGGCAGCCACGGGGGGAGGGAGTCTGTGAGCCAAGGCAGATATCTCACTCGTTGGTACACCACCAGAGGTGGAATAACTTTAGTAACTTTAGTAGTTCCAATATATGTACGTGAATTACTCGATAACCGTTTGATATTAGTGGGGTTATCAAGTAATTAACTAGTGTTTGCGGTACGTTTTGATACCTAGGGTGTTACCGGTTTCTGATTTGGCTCACGGACCAAGGGGAGAGGAGGCTGCGTCACTCACCGCACACCCCTCGGGGCGGTTTTCCTTTCGACGCCTCCCGCTCCGCGTGACCGACGCGGAGGAGTTTCACACAGCCAAGTGCAGGCGGTGCCTGGGTCACAAAACATATCGGACCTCGCGCCATCCTGCCGACCCTGCTGGCTGACACGGCGGTGGGCATGCAGATTCTTAAGTCCGGTTACCGCATTCTAATTAGCGAAGCCAATTTAACGCCGCCGGCGAGCGTGCTCCCGGCTCCGAGCGCAGCCCTGTCCTCGCACGCCGGGTTCCGCGACGGGGTCACCGCCCCTCTGCTCAAGTCCCCGCTCCTCGCACCTAGAGCTCCTCGCGGCCACCCGGGTCGGTCCCCGAGGAAGGCCTCTCTTCGACGGGCGACCCAATGAGTGGGCCGTCTGGCGAGCCGGCCGATGGGCAGGTGGATGGACTGCTGCGCTGGCTAGCGGCTGGAAAGCCCGGGGGGCTGGTTCGTAGGCAGGCTGGTGGGCTGGCATGCGGACTGATGTAGAGGGTGCTTTGTGGGCTAGAATAGGGACTGGAGAGCTGGCTGCCCTGCCGGTTGACATTTGGGCTATCGTGCGGGCTGGCGTGCGGGCTGGCGTGCGGGCCGGTGCGCGGGCTGGCGTGCCGGTTGGCATTTGGGCTAACACACGGGCTAACCTGCGGGCTGGCGTGCAGGCCGGCAGGCAGGCTAGCGGGCGGGCTGGCAGGCGGGCTGGCCGGAGTGGCGGGCGGAGGGCGGTGCAGGCCGCGCTGGATGTGGGTTGCAAAGTCGTACTTGTCGGCGCAGGCGTAGGCGCAGATAGCGCAGTGGAAGGGGCCTCCGTCGCCGTGGCAGCTCATGTGCAGCGCATGCAGCACGGCATCCAGAAAGAGGACGCCGCAGTGCGGGCAGCGGGGAGCCTCGTCCTGCGTGCCCCTCTCCACCGTCGTTGCGCCACCGTCGCCGCCGTCGTCGCCGCCGCCGCGCCACCGTCGTCCCGGCGCCCCACCACGCCCCTCCGCCTCCTCCGCCGGCGCTCGTTTCACCGCCAAGTCTAGCGGAGCATTGCTGATGCCGCCACTGGTACTGGCGTCGGCGCAGGCGAGCGCCTGCGGTCCCAGCGCATAGGGGGGGTACGCTGGGTCCCAGGGCAGGGACCCCGTGGGCTGCAGCACCAGCAGCTGAGCGGCGGGGCCCCCGCTCAGCGCCGAGCGGTACTTGGACCAGAAGCGCAGCCACTCGCTGTCCGGGTAGGCGTAGGGTGGTGGTGCGGCGTGGCCTGGTGGGACCGGCAGTCCGAGCCCCGGGAACTGGTACTTCTCTATGGGGCTGCCGGGCGGAGTGGCGCCCGCCCGTGCCGGTGGCCTCAGGTACTTCTCGATGGGGCTGCCCCGCTCGGACGAACCCCCGCCGTCCTCCGGGGGGCTGGTGCGACACAGCTGGTCCCCGGCCCGGAGGCCGCCTGGCCCTGCCGCTGCCGCCTGCTGCTGCTGCTGCCGCCGCTCCGAGCACGGGCCGCTGCGACCTTCGGCCACGGAGAAGAGCGGCCTGGGCGGGCCAGGGTGGCAGGGCGGCGTGGCCACGCGGGGCGGGCGATCACCGTGTTTGCCGGGCGGGCCCTTGGTGGCCGCAGCCGCGCCAGCCCCACCGGCGCCGCCGGCACCGCCAGCACCGCCAGCGCCGCCGCCAACGCCGCTGCCAACGCCGCTGCCGCCGCCAACACCGCTGCCGCCTGGGCCTCCGTCGTCAGTGGACGTCCACTTGAGTTGCCTGGCGGCGGCGGCGACGACGTCCGTTGGCTCGGGGTGGACACGCTTGCGTGTCCGCCGTCGGATGATCTGCTCACCGTTGCTGTGCTTGATGATGTTGAGGGGCCGCGGCGTCTGCGGTGGTGGGAGGGGTGTGTCGAGAGGGGCGGGGGGGGGGGCAAACGCCGGCGAGATTAGGCTCCAGCTGCCACGCGAGTCGGATAGGCCCTCGTGGCGCGAGTGGGGCTGCCGGGACGCGAGAAGCGGGGAGGACCACGCCGCAAACCTTAACTGGCGCGGCGCCGCTCACCGCGTGCAATTTCTGGTAGAGGCCGCAGGCGTTGCACACGTAGCCGCCGCTCGCGTTCTTCCTCCACAGCGACGTCCGCGTCGTGAGGCAGTTGGCGCACGACACGCCCGCCCCGCGCCGCCTCTGCACCACGCACACGGAACCAGAGTCTCAAGGGGGGATGCCGGGGACCGTGGTCTGGGACTGCTGTTCCAGGCATCGCTGGTTTACCGGAGTAGGGGGCACATTACCTGTAGCCACAGCCATCGTGAGCAGTATTCTAGACATGGTGTGCCGGGTGTGGAAATGTTTTCTGGGTCACCAAACCTGGACAAACCCGGCTGGAATTGAGCCCTTAAGACAACTGGCAACCATGGTAGCCCTGTAGAGAAGATGGAAGACAAGCAGAGATCACAAGGGACCGTGTGCGATTTCCGACTACCACTGGGGACAACCTGTGATCACGAAAACCAAATGAGGACCAAAAAGAACCACCAGGTGGCCGTGGGGCACCATGGGGACTATATGTGACCACTGAGCTTCGTGGGGTTTTCCAGGCCCCATGATGGAACCTTGAAGGCCACAGGGGCCCACTGAGAACCACGTGGACCCAACCAGGGACCCTGAGAAAGCACAACTCATCGTAGGGACCTCAGGTGTACCACAAGAGGCTACAGAGACCATGGGCGTCTACAGGGACAGTGGGACCCGCAGGCACCACGACCCGCCCAGCCGTACCCTCATGAGGGAGGGCAGCTCCTCCTTCATCTTGTGCTGTGGCTGCTGCTGCTGCTGCTGCTTCAGGTGCTGCTGAGTGCCAGCGATGGGCCGGTTGGCAGAGGAAATAGGCGGGGAGTTGGGTCCTGGTCGCTGCCGGGGCGGCTGTTCAGGGGTCAGAGTTAGGGGTCCCAAGGCCTCGTGGGGCCTCTGCAGGGCCCTCAGGGCTGGCTGCGATGCGAGCGGGGGGTCCAGGCCAGCGTTGGGGCCCGAGCGGGGAGGCCCGTCCTGGTGGCCCTGGGATGCGTGTTCCTCCAGCTCCGCCGAGTCATCCGTCACGAAGTCACAGTGGCCGCACTGCAGCCAGGAGTGGGTCCTCCTGACGAAAACATCACCACCATCACCACCCCCACCAACACCACTAATCTCACCACCACACTACCTCACCTATAGTCAGACCACCGACACTAACAGTGCAAACATTGCTAAGATCAACACCACTCCAATTAGCACGGTTGGTTACGTACGGTGCGAAAGAACTTCAACATACATACATACACTGACACCATAATCACAATCACCGACACACCACCATCACCACCACCTCACCTGTGAGATCTCCACCCATGAGGACCCTCACCTGTAGTGAGTGGTGAGGGCAGTCCTGTCGGCTGTCCTGAAGGCGCACTCCCGGCAATCGAGCAGGCGGCCCCCTCCTCCGTCTCCTCCGTGCGCGTCCCTGCCACCCCTGGGCTGCTGCTGCCCCCCGGGAGACTCGAGGCCACCGGGGCAGCGGATCACCGAAGCCTGGCCCTCTCCACCCGCCGCACTCCAGGCCATCAGCTCGGCCGCCTCGGCCCCTCGGGGCCCCTCGGGGGCCCGCGGCGCTCCCCGCCCGGCTTCGGCCTCGCCGCACAGGCCACAGAGGCCGCACCACACGTAAACGGCACCCGGCGTGCCGCCGTGGCCCGGGCAGGGGCCTCGCGTCACCGCCCCCTGGCCCTCGGCGTCGGCGACGGGGGGGCCGCGCGGCCGCACATCCGAAGAGGAAGAGGAGGCGTCCTTGCCACCGACGCCGGGCCCCGTGCCGGCCTTCACCTTGCTGGGGTGAAGCGAGACGGCGTGGGTCTCCAGCTCAGCCGGGGAGCTGCCCAGGTAGGTGAAGTTGCAGAACTTGCAGCGGTAGTACTTGGTGTCGCCCTGACAGTCCGGGGTCTTGCGGCCGATGCCCACGTGAGTTCCTCGGCACATCACCTGGGCAGGTAACGGGCGGGTGAGGGGCGGATGAGAGGTGGGCGAGAGGTAGGTGAGGGGTGGGCAAGTCAAGCGGGAGCACCGACGGAGCAGTGCACATAGGGAAAAGGAAGCCATTGAAATTCCATACACCTCTTCTGTAGCAGATGGTCAGATAATATGCAGTCTGTGTAGGATCGCCCCGGCCCAAAACCACGCTTGGGCTCTGCAAGACTCTCCTCAGCACGCTGCCCTGCAAGGCGATGTTAAATAATCCTTGCCAGGATCTTTCCCAGCCTCACGTTGAGGGAGATGCACACAGCCCCGCCTACTCTGCTGCGGACCCCACCCACTCCTCAGGGAGCCACGCCCTTTGCCCGAATCGTGCATGAGACCAGAACATTTTAAACGACTGACCAAATTCCGATTTTCGTAATGATGTTCGTATGTTTAACTTCTTTCGCACAGTACGTAGCCAACCGTGCTAATCAGAGGTGCGGAATGTGCGGCTGATGTCACACGCAATGAACCCGTCGATTTGCAATGTAGATGTGTGACAAATTGCATTCACATTGCCCCTGGCCCTGCTCGGCCCCAAGCCAGTGGACATTGTTTTCTGCGACAGGGACCCTGCATGTGTCTCCTCGGACCCCGTTTTCTTTAGAAGTCCCCTGGAGGTACATAAACCTCTAGGTTAGACTCGCTCTTATATTAACTCTATTGCCCGAGATGTTTTATGTCAAATATCGTGATAATTGATGATACTTTAGTACATTTGGTATTCACGCCATTCTTGCAGCGCAAGGTGAACACAAAGGCGTGATGTTTCACAAACGAGTATAGTTCATGAGAGAGATTGATGATGTTTTGTAGTTTTACCAAATTAAGAAATTTGAAAGTGTTTTTTTTTATTTGGCAAATTTGAATGGTGACGTCAGCACACAATGGCCGACTCCTTTTCGAATGACGTTACAGAATCTTTAACGTCCACTGTGAAGCAGATGACAAGGGTGAAGCTTCATACACGCGCAGTATTACCCAGGGCGGCCACTGGGTTTGGGTTCAGGTTAGAGATCATACACACTCAACATTAACCAGGGCGGCCAATGGGTTTGGGTTCAGGTTAGAGTTCATACACGCTCAACATTAACCAGGGCGGACACTGGGTTTGGGTTCAGGTTAGAGATCATACACACTCAACATTAACCAGGGCGGACACTGGGTTTGGGTTCAGGTTAGAGATCATACACGCTCAACATTAACCAGGGCGGACACTGGGTTTGTGTTCAGGTTAGAGATCATACACGCTCAACATTAACCAGGGCGGACACTGGGTTAGGTTTTGGGTTAGGGTTCATACACGTAAGTATTAACCAGGGCGGCCACTGGGCCTCGTGAAGACGGAGCCTGCATCGCCCCAACCTCCTGTGATCGCTTACTGTGCTCCATGACAATCTTGATTTGTACACCACTGCTGGGCATAGGCCCAAAATGTCTTGCTTAGCACCTTAATCCACGGTACTTTCAAACAATCATTAAATTGCAAGTAAGATTATAGTGGTTAAAATAGTGGGGTTGTTATTTAAAGTGGTGTAGTTATGGTGATAGTTAAGAAGACAGGTAGGAATGGTTAAGGAGGGGTTGGGGTAGTGATAGGGGTTGGGGTAGTGATAGGGGTTGGGGTAGTGATAGGGGTTGCGGTAGTGATAGGGGTTGGGGTAGTGATAGGGGCTGGGTAGTGATAGGGGTTGGGGTAGTGATAGGGGTTGGGGTAGTGATAGGGATTGGGGTAGTGATAGGGGTTGGGGTAGTGATTGGGGTTGGGGTAGTGATAGGGGTTGGGGTAGTGATAGGGATTGGGGTAGTGATAGGGGTTGGGGTAGTGATAGGGGTTGGGGTAGTGATAGGGGTTGGGGTAGTGATAGGGGTTGGGGTAGTGATAGGGTTGGGGTAGTGATAGGGGTTGGGGTAGTGATAGGGGTTGGGGTAGTGATAGGGGTTGGGGTAGTGATAGGGGTTGGGGTAGTGATAGGGATTGGGGTAGTGATAGGGATTGGGGTAGTGATAGGGGTTGCGGTAGTGATAGGGGTAGTGATAGGGCTGGGGTAGTGATAGGGGTTGGGGTAGTGATAGGGGTTGGGGTAGTGATAGGGATTGGGGTAGTGATAGGGATTGGGGTAGTGATAGGGGTTGCGGTAGTGATAGGGGTAGTGATAGGGCTGGGGTAGTGATAGGGGTTGGGGTAGTGATAGGGGTTGGGGTAGTGATAGAGATTGGGGTAGTGATAGGGGTTGGGGTAGTGATAGGGGTTGGGGTAGTGATAGGGGTTGGGGTAGTGATAGGGGTTGGGGTAGTGATAGGGATAGGGGTAGTGATAGGGATTGGGGTAGTGATAGGGGTTGGGGTAGTGATAGGGCTGGGGTAGTGATAGGGGTTGCGGTAGTGATAGGGGTTGGGGTAGTGATAGGGGCTGGGTAGTGATAGGGGTTGGGGTAGTGATAGGGGTTGGGGTAGTGATAGGGATTGGGGTAGTGATAGGGGTTGGGGTAGTGATAGGGGTTGGGGTAGTGATAGGGGTTGGGGTAGTGATAGGGATTGGGGTAGTGATAGGGGTTGGGGTAGTGATAGGGGTTGGGGTAGTGATAGGGGTTGGGGTAGTGATAGGGGTTGGGGTAGTGATAGGGGTTGGGGTAGTGATAGGGGTTGGGGTAGTGATAGGGGTTGGGGTAGTGATAGGGGTTGGGGTAGTGATAGGGGTTGGGTAGTGATAGGGTTGGGTAGTGATAGGGATTGGGGTAGTGATAGGGATTGGGGTAGTGATAGGGGTTGCGGTAGTGATAGGGGTAGTGATAGGGCTGGGGTAGTGATAGGGGTTGGGGTAGTGATAGGGATAGGGGTAGTGATAGGGATTGGGGTAGTGATAGGGGTTGGGGTAGTGATAGGGCTGGGGTAGTGATAGGGGTTGGGGTAGTGATAGGGGTTGGGGTAGTGATAGGGATAGGGTAGTGATAGGGGTTGGGGTAGTGATAGGGGTTGGGGTAGTGATAGGGATTGGGGTAGTGATAGGGGTTGGGGTAGTGATAGGGGTAGTGATAGGGGTTGGGGTAGTGATAGGGATAGGGTAGTGATAGGGGTTGGGGTAGTGATAGGGGTTGGGGTAGTGATAGGGTTGGGGTAGTGATAGGGGTTGGGGTAGTGATAGGGCTGGGGTAGTGATAGGGGTTGGGGTAGTGATAGGGGTTGGGGTAGTGATAGGGGTTGGGGTAGTGATAGGAGTTGGGGTAGGCCTGGTCATAGGGGCAGGAAGTAGCAGTAGCAGGATGGGCAAAGAAGAAGAGATGAGTTGTTTAAAGGAAGGAATGGGAACAGATTAGTGAAGATTATTGTTGTATGTGCTGCAATGGGAGTTGGTTCCAGTGAGGGGGAGCAAGAAAGGATAGAAATGAGGGAGTGAGGCTGGGCGCAGCACGAGGCAAGCAAGGAGAGGGGCGGTAAAGATTGGGAGCGTAGAGGACGGGATGGGGCACAGTGCGGTATGAGAGAAGCAAGTGGTCAGCAACAACAGCACTGTTAAAGTTATAATATATAAGAGGCAACACGGATCTTGAATCAAGCAAAGTCCTAATAAGTAAGGTAGTTGGGTTTATTTATGTTTAGCGATGAGAAGAACAATAAGGAGACGACTGACCACCGGTGAGCATGTGATGAGAGTGATTGGTTAGTGCTGGATTATAATCGATGGCCCTCACTGCTGCTTTACACTGAATGCGACCGGGTGCAGTCAGCACCAGCAGGATCCCAGCATCGGTCGAGCGTGGCCTCTGTTTATTGTCAGCGATTGATCAAAGCTAAATAATTTAGGAAAGAGCCATCGCCCCTACCTGCACATCATGGGCCCCCGGGCTGGGCTGGGCCCCATCCCTTAGCAACAGCAGATGCCGCTCAACGGCGCGGGGCCCGGCAGGGCCCACCTCTGGGACGCGGCGCGGGGCGCGGGGCCCCGCCGCCAGGACCCGGCTCCCGTCGGGGTCGGGGTCCCGGCCACGGGCGTGCAGGCCGAGGTGGAAGCGACGCACGTGCTTCACGAGGTCGGCGGGGTCACCGCCCAGGTAGCTGTAGCCGCAGGCGCCGCACGTGAAGTCCTGCAGCCGCGGCGTGGAGGCCGCGATGGCCGGCGCGCCCGCCGCCGGCGACCCTCCCCGGGCCTTCGCGTCGGGACCTCCCGGCGAGGGGCCACCCCCGGCGTCCTGCCCGGGCGGGGCCCCCGCGGGGTCGGGCCCGGCCTCGTCCCGGGACCCGGGCCCCTCCGGGGAGCCGGGCCGGTCGAGTTCGGGGCTCCAGGGACCCCCGACGCCACCCCGCGGGGCCGCGTCGGCGCGGTCGGCGAGGGGGTCCGAGGCCTCCCCGCCCGCGTGGCCCGGCTCGGCTGCGGCCTCCGGGTCCTCGGGGCCCGCGGGGGCCACCACGGTGCGCAGGGGCAGCGTCTTCTTGCGCACCATGGCCCCCCGGGGCCCACGTGGGGCAACTCAGGGCAGTGCCTGGGCAGGGGAGAGGGGAAGAGGGCAGTAGTGAGGGCCTGTGACGTGACCCCAGGTGGTGATCTCACTCGTGAGAGGCAAGGGGGGCCCCGATAGGGGCCCTCCAATCCCACATGATACTCCTAAGGCCTTGGAGTAGGGGACAGGGTCACGGTCATAATCTGGGTCGAAACGTTCAGGTCAGACTAGGAGGCTATCAAGCGGCTTCTCTCCCGTCCTCACCACCTCCTTCCTTGACTCAGCTCCTTCCTTGACTCAGCTCCTTCCTTGGCTCAGCTCGTTCCTTGACTCAGCTGCTTCCTGTCTCGCCAACTGGTTCCCTCCCTCCCTACCCCCTCCCTCACTACCTCGTTCCTTCTCTCACCTCTTCCGCATATCAAAATATGCAATTGCACGATGACAATTGCATATTTTGGGAAGGAGGAAGATGAGGAAGAGAGAAGAGGCTGAGGGACAGATGAGGAAGAGATGATAAGGAGGAGGATGATGAGGAAGATAGGAGCAGGAGGAGGAGGAGGAGCAGCGCTCTCGGGATGAGTGACTCAATTACGGGGAGGGTGCTTCTCTCACAATGGCCACCGCGTTGGTATTCAGGCCTCGCCTGCCCTGACATTCACGGGCGCTGCCGGGGCCCCGGGCCTCACAAAGGGCTCCTTATAAACACTGACATTAGCTTGGTGGCATGTGCGATCGCCTGCACCGCCCTCAAAGGAGACGAGCACCCCCCCCCCCCCCATTCTAGTGCCATGAAAGCACGGGGCGGGGGGGGGGCTCCATTACGTGCGCACCGGCTTCCAGCCTCCCCCGGCCCAGGTCTCAGATCCTACATCCCAGTTCCCGAATGACGGATCATCACCTTGGGTCCCAGATCCCGAATTCAATATCCCACGTGTATTATGGCAGATCCCAGGCCTCAACATTTCAGATCTCAATCATAGGGCCTAGATATCATATCCCAGATTCACAATCACTTGAGATTGTGTCCGTAGTAGTGAATTACAATCGCAGTGTAATTGTTATGTCAGATGACAATACCGCTGTGATTATAATTCCCCCCAGGTCTGAATTTCAGAATGCAGTTTTAGATCCTCAATCCCAGATTCACCACCCAGGTGCCAGATCCCAGTGGCAGGCCCACAGATTGGGAATATCGCATCATAGTCAGCAGCGTGAATCGCTCACGGCGTCCATTGCTACCGGGCACAGCACCTCAGTGCCAGATTCTGAATCCCAGTCGAAGATCCCCAAATCACCGGGACCCCTCTCACTGCGCAACATCACCCCACATCACGGGCAGCAAAGGGAGGGAATAAATTACGGTTGAGGGCTCGAGATGAATGATTGAAGAAGGCAGGGAATGAGTGGAGGGAATGAGTGGAATGGAGGAGGGAGGAGCCCCAGGTGGAGAAGTGAGTGAACGAATGGAAGGCATGAATCAGGGTGTGTTTGCCTCGTGAGCGTGCATCTTGTGTGTTCACCGCTTCCCCATGGAAACGGCACAAGAGGCGCTTTGTGGTGCCCGGGCCGAGAGAGAAGTGGGGAGGGGGACATAAACACACACAGGGACACACATAGACACACACACACACCCACATATATACACCGACATATATACAGAGACAAAGATTCCTCATATATCCTCAACAGACTAGGGACAAATGCGGTTGGCGAGCACCTATGAAGTCTGGCACGGCACACGATGTGGTGGGTGGTCAGCACCACGCTCGGTCGCCCAAGTCTCCCTAGTGGCGATAATTACACACCGCACCAGGTACTCATTGGAAGCTGAATCGACCTAGGGGAGGCCCAGGGCCCGTTCAAATGATCGTTACTGGTATTGACCGTGAGCAGGAATCGAACCCGGTTCACCGGGTTCATAGCGCAGCACGCTAACCACTTTGCGACCGCTCCCCGCTGACATACACACAAAGAGACACCCACCCTGTGTCCTGCACTGACAAACTGACGCCCTGTACCGAGACACAGACTCCTAAAGACAAAAATCCCCGTACAGCCTTAAGCAGAATGTTGGAGAAAGTGCTGTTAGCGTGTACCTATAAATGCCGGCACGGCACACGAGGGGGTGGGTGGCCAGCACCACGTCCGGCCGCCTTTATCTCCCCAGTAGCGATGTTTTACACACCGCATAGACTCCGTGCACTGAGACACAGAGACACCCTGCACTGGGACACAGAGACACCCTGCACTGAGACACTGAGACACAGAGACACCCTACACTGAGACACTGAGACACCCTGCACTGAGACACAGAGACACCCTGCACTGAGACACCCTGCACTGAGACACTGAGACACAGAGACACCCTGCACTGAGACACAGAGACACCCTGCACTGAGACACAGAGACACCCTGCACTGAGACACTGAGACACAGAGACTCCCTGCACTGAGACACAGAGGCACTGGACACAGAGACACTGGACACAGAGACACCCTGCACTGAGACACAGAGACACTGGACACAGAGACACCCTGCACAGAGACTCCCTGCACTGGGACACAGAGACTCCCTGCACTGGGACACAGAGACACCCTGCACTGAGACTCCCTGCACTGGGACACAGAGACTCCCTGCACTGGGACACAGAGACTCCCTGCACTGAGACACCCTGCAGTGAGACACAGAGACTCCCTGCAGAGTGAAGCCCGACAATGAGATACCCGCACCCTCCACTGTCACACCCTGGCCCTGCGGGGCCCGGTGTGAGAAAGAGAGACGCCCTGCACTGAGACACAGAGACACAGAGACGCCCTGCACCGGGACACCCCGAACCCTGGCCACGTCAGCGGCACCTGCTGCGAGACGGGGAGGGAGCGTTGCGGAGACTCGGTCGGTGTGGGGAGTGTTGGGGGAGTGTGGCGAGGAGGGAGCGATGGGGGGGCAGAGGGAGTGTGGTGAGAGGGGGGTGTGTGGTGGGGAGTAAGGAGGGAGTGTTGGGGGGGGGGTCGTGCGGCGTGCAGGGGAGGGGGGTGTGGAACAGAGGGAGGGAGGCAGTGGGGGAGGGAGGGGGGAGCGGTCCACACGCCGTCATTAAGACTGACGTCACCATCAGTATGCTTCTCGCCGGACCCATTCATGAGCAGTGTCACGCACATTCGCACGCACATAGAGACACAACGACAACAACAACCACCGTTGGCGGTGACGTCACCACGGCACTTGTGCCAGGCTAGGTGCACCTTGAGGCCACGTGAAGTGCCGAACGCTCGCTGGAAGGTCAAGGGACAGACCCAGGTGCCCTGGCTTGACTGATTGAGGCGACTCGCAAGTGCATCACCTGTGCTCCCCTTTGTGCATAATCGCTGCAATCTTGTGACCGTCACTCATCTTCCCTCTGTTGTTGTTGGAGAGCGACTGCCTCCAACTAACATCCTTCACGAGCCTCCTCCACAGAGGCCGATCTTGAATCAGCTGGTACCAGTAACCTCCTAGTCCGATCAGCTCCACATCCTCCTGTACCACATCAGCACATCTCTTCTCTCGTCAGTGCCGCGCCCGTTTACTCCTCTATCCGTCCAAACATCAGCTGCCTGGGCATTCAGTGACTCGGCATGCGGGCTACATGACCCAACTGACGCAGCCTCGCCGGCCGGAGGCACTCACTTGATGGGACTGTGACAAAAACTTTCAAGGATATGTGAGCTCCTCACACAATCTAGTCTGGTTAAACCCAGGATGGATCGTAGGCACGCCAGCTTGAACGTTTCTAACATGCTCAGATGCTCTATTAATCGGTCCACGTTTCGCAAGCATATAGAAGAGAGGGCATTACATGTGGATGAGAAGTCCTAAGCTTCGTGTGTAGCGAATGGGCTAGATACCGTCCACACAGAATTACGCAGAAAAGATAATACCGCTCGACTGATTCGGTGTGAGACCTCCGCTGCCAAACTAGAGCTGGCCATAAGCATACTGGTCAATACACTTCTCAACTCTCTCTAGAACTGCTCCATCACTCATGGGGAGTTGAGCTGGTGGAGTGATTTATGACATAGAATAACCAGGCAGGTGCTTACTTTTGGTTGGGCTGATGGTAAGATCCCATATATTAATGGCATGCTCCAGGTTCAGCCTCCGCAGAGTGCGCAGAAATTACCAGATCATGAGCATACACCACATGCATCTGTACCAGATAGGAATTCCTTCTCGAACTACGTGGTCGAAAAAGATGATTCACACTCATAGAGACACACAGACACACACACACGCATCCAGACAAGAACCAAAGATCCCCCTATAGACTTTAACAGACTGGTGGACAAGTGCTGTAAGCGAGCACGTATGAAGGCCGACACGGCACACGAAGGAGTAGGTGACCAACACCATGCCCGGCCACCGTTGTCTCTCCAATACTGATATTTACACATGGCACCAGTTACTCATTTAAGGCCAAACGACCTAGGAGGCGGCCTAGGACCGGTTCAAATATTCGCCACTGTTATTGGTCGCGAGCAGGAATCGAACCCGGGTCGCCGAGTTCGTAACGCGGTGCGTTAACCACTGACCTACCGCTCCCCTTACACACAGACATGCAAATGTAAAAAGATACACACACGGGCACGCACTCACCACACACACAGATGCACAAACTCACAAATATACACTGACACACAGATACTAAGATACACAGATAAAAACAACACACATATATAGATACACACTCGCATACATATACTCACACACACACATATATACACATCTAAGTATACACAGAATCGTACATAAAGGTCCCCTTATAGTCTGAACAGACTGTTGAGGCGAGTGTTGCAAGCGAGCACCTCTAACGCCTGGCACGGCACACGAGGGGCAGGATGCACAGCCCCACGCCCGAGCATATTTGTCTCCCAAGTGCCGATGTTTATACAGCGGCTTCTTATTTAAGGCTTAGTCGACCTAGGGAAGCCCAGAACCGTTTCATACGCAGATTTCCAATGATGTTAGCCGTGGCCTGGAATCGAACCCAGGTCACCGGATTAATTGCGCAGACATACACGTGGTGCATATAAACAAGCGCACAAGTGCATCCCAAGCACAGGTACACGAGTGGCTGATGTCACCACATCCCTTGTGCCAGGCTAGGTGCACTTTGACGCCGTCATGTGAAGTGTGAAAAGCTCCCTGCTGCGTGTAAGCAAAGGTCACGGGACAGACCCGGGTGCTATCGGTTGACTGCTGTGCCAGGCGATATGCAGAAGGTCACGGGACAGACCCGGGTGCTGCTCTGGGTGACTGGCAGATGCACCTCCTGTGCTTCCCATTGTGTCAACTCGCACGCACACACACAGCATACTTGACATCACCCGCCACTTCTCCTCACCACATGACCCAACACTCACTAGATCTCTTAACAACATCACTCACTACCGCTCAACACTCACTATATAATGCATGTATGGTGAACTTCTTTCGCACCGTACGTAGCCCACCGTGCTAATCTCACCACGTCACTCACTACCTCTCCTCACATCACTCACTTTCATCTCCCCACCACATCACTCACCACAACCTTTACCACATCACTCACCACCTCTCTTAACGATGTCACTTACGACATCGCACGCTCCCCCTCTTCACCACATCACTCACCACTCACTCCATCTCCTTCTCACATCACTCACTGCCATTCACGACAGCTTCTCAGCACTCCGCTCGATACACAGACGTATCCCTCCCATAGCCTTCGTAGACTGTTGGGCTGAGTGCTGTTAGCGAGGAACACCTTTGAAGGCCAAGACGACACACGAAGACGCCTTTGTCTCCCTTACAGTGACGTTTTCACATATTGCACTTGGTACTCATTTGAGGCTGAGCCGACCTAGGCGAGGCCTAGGACCGGTTCAAAACATTGTCACTGATTTTGTCTGTGAGCGGGAATCGAACTCGGGTGGCCGGGTTCGTAGCGCAGCGCGCTAACAGCTGCACTGCCGCTCCGACATCACTCACCACATCACTCACCGCAGATCCTCACCACAACATTCATCGTATCACTCACCACTCACCTCACCAGACCACTCACCACTCACCACCTCCCCTCACCACACTCATCACCACTCACCACCTCCCCTCACCAGACCACTCACCACTCCCCTCACCAGACCACTCACCACTCACCAGACTACTCACCACACTACTCACCAGACCACTCACAACCACTCCTCACCACTCGCTCACGACTTCACTCACCGTAGGGACGAGCGCAGGAGTCGGTGTCAGGAGCCGAGACCGGGATGATGATAATCAGGGACGAGATTCGGGGATTCGGGAGGAGGGAGTCGAGCGGGAATCAGGGAGCGGGGCTCTTGCGAGAGGAGCGAGGGAGCTGCTGTCAGGACCGGGGATGGCAGCTCGGAGCCCGCGGACCGGGAGAGGGATCAGAGGCGAGGGGTCGGGGATCAGGGAGCCGCTGCGGAGACGCGAGCTCATGGCGGGGGCGGCGGTGGGGGCGGCGGCGGAGGGGGGGAGGGATCGGGGGGGGGGGGATCGGAGGGGGGGGTCGGGGGGGGGGTCCCGTGGCACGACTCGAGACGAGAACTGCGGAGAGAGGGGATCTGGGACTGTCGTGGAGAGGGGATGGAGATCGGGGATGGAGGCCAGGGAGGCGGCAGTCGGCGCGGCCTCGCCACTTTAAAGCGAGAAGAGAGCGGAAGCGCGTGGAGACGCGACTCGGGCAGAGGCGGCGCGGGGGCGGAGAGGGCCGGGGGGGGGCGGGGGGGGCATTAGTGAGTGTTGGGGGAGGAGGAGGGGGAGGAGGAGGGGGGGAGGAGGAGGGAGGGAGGAGGAGGGAGGGAGGAGGAGGAGGGAGGGAGGAGGAGGAGGGAGGGAGGAGGAGGGGGGGGAGGGACCCATCCCAGGGACCCATCCCACACAAGGGACACAGCCTCCTTAATGGGGTGGGAGGGGTGGACCCATCACGGCCTCTTTAATGAGCGGGGGGAGGGTGATGGAGGGAATCAGTTTTGCGGTGGGGGGGGGGGCAGTCGCCCCCCTTCCCCCCCGAGGGCAGAACACGGGGACCCGGCTCACAACCACGCCTAGGCCGCGCACCCCGACCAACACCTCGCTACTCACCACTCACCCCCCTCCACCACCACTCACCTCACCCCCCTCCACCATCATTCACCTCGCACACCCCTCCACCACCACCACTCACCTCAAACCCCTCCACCACCACTCACCTCACCCCCCTCCACCATCACTCACCTCGCACACCCCACCACCACCACGACTCACCTCACCCCCCTCCACCATCACTCACCTCACCCCCCTCCACCACCACGACTCACCTCACCCCCCTCCACCATCACTCACCTCGCACACCCCTCCACCACCACCATCACTCACTTCTCACCTCACGCACCGACTCAGCTCGCTCACAACTCACCGCGTCAAGATCGGGGGCTTAGTCGCCCGGGCGCGGTCCCAGATGAGAGCAGGAATGTTGATCACAGTACACACCCCACACAGTACACACAGTACACACAGTACACACCACACAGTACACACGGTACACACCACACATGGTGCACTCAATGCACACCACACAGTACACACAGTACACACCCCACATACAGTACACACCACACAGTACACACAGTACACACCACACAGTACACACAGTACACACAGTACACACCACACATGGTGCACACAATGCACACCACACAGTACACACAGTACACACCCCACATACAGTACACACCACACAGTACACACAGTACACACCACACAGTACACACAGTACACACAGTACACACCACACATGGTGCACACAATGCACACCACACAGTACACACAGTACACACACCACACACAGTACACACCCCACATACAGTACACACCACACAGTACACACAGTACACACCACACAGTACACACAGTACACACACCACACACAGTACACACCCCACATACAGTACACACCACACAGTACACACAGTACACACCACACAGTACACACAGTACACACACCACACACAGTACACACAGTACACACAGTACACATAGTGCACACAGTACACACAGTCACCCCACACAGTACACACAGTAGACACCACACAACATGCCCCGTTTGTGTAAACAAGTGCAGTCTCCAACTCTGATCATCCCCTGGCTCTCTCTACCGGCCTCTATGTGTACAGTGCTAGGAAGAAGGGCCGATTCCCGAAGCGTCGCCTCGTGTTTTTTTTCTCTTTGAAAGACCGCGGCGTTGTTATTAACGAAGGCGTCAACTGAGAGTTGAGACGCCTCTCATCAAAAGCCCTCAACCCCTCCCTCCCCCTGTCCTCTTCGCTCCCCCGCCCGTTCCCTCCCCGCCACCCCGCGGGGCTGGGAGGGGCCACCGCGCCCTCTCACGGGGGCAGCGCGTCCCCGTGCGGACACACACCTGGCCCAGGGGCATCGGGGACACGCACACACACACACGCGCACCCGTACACACCTGTACACACACACACGCACACACCTGTACATACACATACACACCTGTACACACACACCTGTACACACACACACCTGTACACACACACACCTGTACATACACACACACAGACTTGTACACACACACCTGTGTGCACACACACACCGGTACACACACACACCTGTACACACACACCTGTACACACACACCTGTGCGCACACACCTGTACACACACACACCTGTACACACACACACACCTGTACGCACACACCTGTACGCACACACCTGTGCGCACACACCTGTGTGTGTGCGCACACACCTGTGCGCACACACACCTGTACACACACCTGTACACACACACCTCTGTGTGCACACGCCTCTACACAATACGTGTGCACCCACGAGTGACGGATTGCGGAGATGATGGTGATTGATGATGGTGATTGATGATGATGGTGATTGATGATGGTGATTGATGATGATGATGATTGATGATGATGGTGATTGATGATGATGGTGATTGATGATGATGGTGATTGATGATGGTGGTGGTGATTATGGTGGTGGTGATGGTGGTGATGATGCCACACGTGTACGCGGTGGTGCAGCGGTTTGCGCGCTGTCCTATGAACCCGGTGACCCGAGTTCGATTCCCGCTCTCGGCCATCATCAGTGACGATTATCTGAACCGGTCCTGGGCCTCTCCTTGGTCGACTCTGCCTCAAATGAGTACCTGGTGCGGTGTGTAAACATCGCCCCTGGGGAGACAGGCGTGGTGTTGGCGACCGACCCCTTCGTGTGCCGTTCCGGCCTTCATAGGTGCTCACTAACAGCACTTACCATAACAGTTTGTTAAAGACTATACTGAGGACCTATGATGGTGATGATGGTAGTGGTAATGATGGTGGTGGTGATGATGGTGGTGGTGATGATGGTGGTGGTGATGATGATGGTGGTGGTGGTAATGGTGGTGGTGATGATGATGGTGGTCGTGGTGATGATGACGGTGATGATGGTGGTGGTGATGATGGGGGTGGTGGTGATGGTGATGATGGTGGTGGTGGTGATGATGGTGGTGATGATGATGGTGGTGGTGGTGGTGATGATGGTGGTGGTGGTGATGATGGTGGTGGTGGTGGTGATGATGATGGTGGTGGTGGTAATGGTGATGATGGTGGTGGTGGTGATGATGGTGGTGATGGGGGTGGTGGTGATGATGGTGGTGGTGATGATGATGGTGGTCGTGGTGATGATGATGGTGATGATGGTGGTGATGATGGGGGTGGTGGTGATGATGATGGTGGTGGTGGTGATAATGGTAATGGTGGTGGTGATGATGGTGGTGGTGATGATGGTGGTGGTAGTGATGATGGTGGTGGTGGTGGTGATGATGGTGATGATGATGGTGATGATGGTGGTGGTGATGATGGTGGTGGTGGTGGTGGTGATGATGATGATGGTGGTGATGGGGGTGGTGGTGATTGGGGTGGTGGTGATGATGGTGGTGGTGGTAATGGTGATGATGGTAATGGTGATGATGGTGGTGGTGATGATGGTGGTGGTGGTGATGATGGTGGTGGTGGTAATGGTGATGATGGTGGTGATGATGGTGGTGGTGATGGTGGTGGTGATGGGGGTGGTGATGATGGTGATGGTGGTGGTGATGGTGGTGGTGGTAATGGTGATGGTGGTGGTGGTGATGGTGGTGGTGATGGGGGTGGTGATGATGGTGATGGTGGTGATGATGATGGTGGTGGTTATGATGATGGTGGTGATGGGGGTGGTGATGATGATGGTGGTGGTGGTGATGATGGTGGTGGTGGTAATGGTGATGATGGTGGTGATGATGGTGGTGGTGATGATGGTGGTGATGGGGGTGGTGATGATGGTGATGGTGGTGGTGATGGTGGTGGTGGTAATGGTGATGGTGGTGGTGGTGATGGTGGTGGTAATGGTGATGATGGTGGTGATGATGATGGTGGTGGTTATGATGATGGTGGTGATGGGGGTGGTGATGATGATGGTGGTGGTGATGGTAATGATGGTGTTGGTGATGCCCCACGCGTCTGCACGCCTGCGTACACGTACTTGTACACGCCCGCCTGCTCCCGCCCTGGAAGCTGCACACACCTGCGCCTACCTGCGCATGCCTCACCGCTGACTCAGCGGCCAGCAACGTGTGCACACGAGGGCGTATCGGCATTTCGACGGACGGTACGATGTCGAACGATACGACGATTATCGCGATGTGTCTCCCCATACACATTGCAATTGATGACATTTGCGTTTGTCTTGTGTGTAATGCTTTGCTGCCCTCCCAGGTCGAATGGAGACCGCCTTAACGTTACTCAACCGCACAAGCTGGAGGATGCCAGGATGAGCGGCGTAGCCGCAGTCTGACACGTGCAAGGAGCCGCTCGCACAGCGGCGATGAAGCAAACCACTCGCGTGATGACGTCTAATTGTCGCCACTCATCACTGGCTCTGGCCCTGGTCAAGCCACTGCTGGATGAAGGCCTCCCCCAAGCCACCAACCCTGTCGCAACGGTCCTTCCATGCGATAATCCATCTAGCACTCGCACACGAGCTGATTCCATCGCTCCATCTCCCCGATGGACGTTCAACTTGGAAACTTTCCATCCATTGACTGCCACTCCGTCGCTATGCTTGACCATCGGTCATAATCTATTCTGGCCGTGACGCGCACTGAAAGCCTTTGCATGGCACAGCTCATTGGGCAAATATAGCACAAACCCAACAGAGGCGGGCCGGTCTAAACCAGGTCACCAATAAGTGCAACAAAATTCTTCTAATAAAATTGAGACCCAGGTGCCATGGGTTGACTGACTGAGATGACTGGCAGATGCAAAGCTGTGCCCCTCCTCTGCCAACTTGCTGTATTTTATCGGCCCGGCACTCCGCTTGTTGTTGTGAGCGTCGCTCCTCTGCCCTCCATTGTTGTTGGAGGGCGACTGCCTCCAACTGCCCAGTAGCGTCCTTAACGAGTCTCTTCCATACACAGGCCACACACACACACATCTCAC